GTCAACACTAGCCTTCATGGTTTTTACTGTACATAGTGATCCATACACCCCAGAAGAGACGTGCAAAGATCTGGTTTGCTTCACGCTCTAATGACAGATGTTTAAATTGTATTATTTCCTGAGTTCTGACTTACTGTTTGATGCTCACACAAAGATACAGAATTTCCCTTTCACCTCATTCATCAGAAGAAATGAATGTTATATACAAGTCCAAAAAGCCATGGTTTCAGATTCTAAACACTGTCAGTGAAAGGGCAGAGAAAATAACATTTCAGAAATTGATTTATACCACATTATATGTCCTGTGACAATGAAAAACCTTTAAGGAGATAATGAAGAAGTATATCTGTAGGCAAAACCCTTTAAAAACATAAAGGCGTATCTTAACAAAAAAAGTGAAGAAAGCTAAACACGACAACTTAGAATTTCATTAAATGAAAGTGGCAATACAAAAAAATGTAAGTGATACATTATCCTGACTATAACTTATCTTTTGGTGACATATTGAATAATTTTGCTTCTTTGAGGTACTTAGATGACAAATCATTCTTTGGTAGAACTGCTACTTCTTTTAAGAGATTACAAACCATTGATTTAATCTTTGACATTGTATTTTATCATCTTGTTAAACTCTATGTTCCTTATGTAAAATCTTAATGTGAAAAGTAACTATAGCTGTCAGATGGCTGCAGTGGAATAAAATGGACCATATCTCCCTTTGAAATGTAGTGGAGTCATGTAAAGCAGCAAAAAATGTAAATACTCAAGTTAAGTACATGTATCTTAATATTTAACTTCAGTACAGTACTTGAGTAAATCTACTGGTTTAAATGTACTTATTTACTTTCCACCACTGCTGTTCTCCTACATTAGATGAGTGACAGGCCTTTCATTCCTCTCATCTTCACCTAAATGGAACCTACAATCGGCTCAAGTCATAATGTGAATTAGACCAACGCTAAGCTTTGAGAAAATACAGAATACAGAGTAGACATACTGTAATCCCAAACACAGCCTCGTATATCAGAGATTTTAACCACTCTCCCTCTCCTCGTTCTACAGACTGCAGACATAAGTCCTTGGTCTTTACAACCACCTCCAGGTGTGGTCGTAAATCCAACTGCACTGGAGCCAAGGAAAACCAGCCACCTGGCTCTCTGCCAGCCGGGAACAAAGGAGTCACAGCACCAACATCCACAAATCAGTAACGCACTTGGGTAACTTGATTCAGAAAACAGCTTCCAACATTACAGAGCAGCTGATTCTTTTCCATAAGGTATACTGTATTTAATGGGATCTATAATTTGGTTAAAAGGGATCTGTTTTCACAATCTTACATGACAAAATGAATGTACAGTTATTTTATTTGAGTAGTTATTTTCCAGCCATGCTATAGCATTTCTAAGGACATCAAGAGCAGTCTGTTTGTGGATCCCCCTCGTTGGTCTAGACTGAAATACCTAGTGGATGGATGCCATAACATTTTGTATAGGTCAGACTCTGACCAAAACTCCAAAGTCAGGGGATATACCTTATTAATTCTGGCCTTAGACAATGCCAAGAGTTGGAAAAGGAGCTTTCATAATTTTATCATTATATGTACAATTTAAAAAATGTGGCCCTTGTTACTTAAATCATTAATTGATGATGTAGGTAAATCAAGATTTCAAGGGAATTTTGAGAATGCTACTGACCCACTCCAAGCAGTAGAAATACATGTGAGCCTTGTTAACATAATGCATTTTGCACAGCAGCTGGTGACGATAGCAGTACAGCAGGCGTTGGTGGTGAAGTGCCAAGCTGGGTGAAAGAGGGGTGAGATTCAGTCTTGAAGCCTGCTGACCTGTGTAAAACCTTCTGCACTGAGAAGCAGCAGCCTGAAATTACTTTGCAGAACTGGGTGGAATGAAGCAGCTGAGACCTGTGCACAAGGTCAAGGCAAAACTTTTTATGAAACCTCTTGCAGCATCAGGAGACAACCGAGCCAAAGTCAGTTTAACTCATTCTACACAAACTAGACATTAATAAAACTTTAGTTATAATACTGTATAGTTATAGTTCAGGTTGTAGTTCTTTGCTACTAGCAAGAGAACTACAACCTGTGCTGAGAACCCCTTGAACTTCTCAAGAAATTTGATAAAGTGTGTAATAGATACATTGAAATTATTAAACAGAAACAGGACACTGTAACAAAGGCAAAGCATTGTCTTTGTATATTCTGCATCTATTTATTGTGAGTGGAAGAGCAGCTAATCTCGGTGGAAGCTGTGACTCAGGATTATGAGCTGATTAAAAACAAACTATGCTTCCACTGGATAAGCTCCAAAGACTCAGGGTCAAAGATAAAGGCAGAGGCTTTTCTATTTAACAACACTAGCGGGACCATGATGGAAAAACTCACTCTAATATAAACTTTTTGCACATGTAGTATATCTTACTGTAACTTTCTGTGGGTTTATTTCCAGTGGATCTGTTGTTTTTTGATGCTCCCATGTACAGAAGGTGATAGGAGCACAGTGGTGGGTGTCATCAGCTGTGTAGGAAAAGAAAGTAAACATGAGTGTGACAATGATTATAAAGGTGAAAGTTTTTACAAAATGAAATGTCTTGTGGCTGCATTGCATTGTGGTCTTTCGAGGCTTCTGACAGTAGAACTATAACTTTGCTTAGGTGGATTGTAGCTGCACTAGTAAATATTTTGTGTGTAGTGATCTGTCTGTGTTGGCATGCTGTTATCTGCAAGAGTTTGCGTACAAACATAAGCATTGCCAAGGTTTCTGGTGTCCACCCAGATTGAAATGCATCACCATGTGTTTAGAAAGACCTTTGAGCTTTAGCTATTTACTCCCCAACCATTTATTTCTCCCTTGGATTTATTATTCTGCACATCTCTTATCTAAACACACTTGTTTATTTAAATTAGAACTTTTTTGCACATTTTTCCTTGAAGGTTTATCAATCTCCAACAAAAGAGGGACATTTGGATACTTGGGTACTTGGGTGAGCATTAAGAGTAGTTCATTCTTATGTGTGTATGTGAGTGTGTACTCTTGGTATTACCCATTATGGGGACAGAAATCTGTTAACACACTCACACTGTGGGGACGCCTTCCTCATGGGGACCAGCGGCTGGTCCCCACCATGTAAATCAATGAAGTTTAGGATGACAGTATGGTTTAAGGTTGGGTTGAGGTTCACATAAAGGTTGGGGTTAGTCAAATAGTGGTTATCGTTAAGGTCAGGATACGACCCCAGGAAATGAATGTAATATCCAATATCCATGAGGAATGAAATACACCTGTGTGTGTGTGTGTGTGTGTGTGTGTGTGTGTGTGTGTGTGTGTGTGTGTGTGTGTGTGTGTGTGTGTGTTCTTGTACTTGTTACATAGTGGGGGGCAAAAAAGTTTTTTTGTGCTACATGGTGAGGACATTTTTGGAAAGGGAGGACATTTTGGCTGGTCCTCACTTTCTGAAACACTTTTTTGAAGGTTAAGACTTGGTTTAGATTTGGTTGGTTTGAATTAGATTTAGATCAGAATTATGGGAAGGGTTGGGTGTTTAGTTCTGATGGTTAAGGTTGATAAGCGGCTGAGGAATGCATTATGTCAATTAGTGTCCTAACAAAGATAGATGTTCAAGGATGTGTGTGCACACGCATGTGCACGTTCTGCAAAAAGATCCTTCTGACAGACGTGATGCTTAAATAATTTTGTATTTACTGAGAGTATTCTTCAAAATTTATGACCACTGTCAAAGAAGCATGAGCATAGGAAAGAGGAAGAGGAAACCCATCACTGCCATCTGAAAGACATCTGTCCACACCACAGTACTCAGGCCTCTGTACACACATGCACAAACACACAGATTCTATGTTACACAGCAGAGGATCGACAAGAATATGCCGAACAAATCTGCAAAAGCATTATATATTAGTTGCATCTGTTTCCCTGTAGTATCTTGCTTTGCTTTGGCAAGCTGGTCAGTTTGCTCTATCAGTGTTTATGATGAGAGAAACTATATTTATTCAGGTGTGTGACTTATGAAGTAACAGAGAAAGCCTGCATGCCAAGAAGCTGTCTTTGACTGTATCTTCCATTCAACAGTGTGTTCAGCAGTACTACCATGGTGGATTTCCGATAAGCAACACTTTCTTCTAAATGCTCTACTTTGCCTTTTACTTACTTTTAACTCTGAATCTGCTTAATCTACTCAATTTGTTTTATACTTTAAAAAATGTATTCTAGTAAACATGTTTGTATTTTCTCTCCTCCTATAGTTTGTTGAAGAAAGAATTGGGTTTATCGGAACATGAATGTATGGATCAAACAGGTTAAAACTAATCATGTCCATACCTGTCTTTACAGCTCACCATGTATTCCCAGTTTGTGTGAATATTACTGACATACTGCAAAACAGCATCTGAGACCACATCATGATTAAATTATCCAAGACAGGATGTGCAGTAGAGGTTTTTGTACCCAAAAGACTGTAATATAATCACCTGACTGTAGTCAGCTGCTCCACTCACACTCTGGGAGTCCAAGAGAAATGTAATGACTAATACGCTCCTTCAGGATTCATTAAGTCTATTGTTAAAATTTACTTATGTACAATATCTAAACCCCCTAACAGACAAAGTGACAGTGTATTTATAATTTTACTGCATGTAGGTTTTTTTGGCATGACTTTAAAGATAGTTTGATCTGTTTTCCTTTTGTGACAATATCAGTTTAGTTTATTTAGTGACAATATTTTGAAAATCTTGATTAACTTTATTTGTTCTAATATATAGTCAGATCTGTATCACTGAGTCAGAACTCGGATCGGATTTTGCTGTGTGCACTAGAGTGGGACTGCGTTCAGACAGGTCTTGAATATTTAATTATTAGTCATGTAAACAAATTATTGATAGATGTTTTAATAATGAGTTATGTTAAATAGATACAGATTACATTTGATTTAATATGTGGTGGAATGAGAAAAACAAACTATAGCATTTTCATTTGTGAATTTATGTTGTAAATCTGGCTTCAATTATTGTCAGAAACACTGTACATAGGGTTGGTGTGACTTAAGTTGAAATGCAGGCTCATGACTGCAATAACACTGATACTGTGTGGTTAAAGTAATGAGGGGCCACTAGGGACCCTGCTGACTCCAACAGGCATCCTGTGCCTTTTAGGTGACGGAGGCGGTGTAACATGAGTCGGGGTGAAAACCGTGCGCTGGATCCGGCTGCCACTGCATATGCTGTTCTTCAAAGAGACAGAGGAAGTACATGATGGACCCCGTCCCATTGCTAATCATCCTAGTCACGTATTTGCCATTTTGCTCGGCAGGCTACACCGGGCCCCTCCAACCGGAGATCTCTAATGGCACTTTCCACCACTTCTTTGTCCCGGACGGGGATTATGATGCAACTGTAGACCCGGAGCTGTGTCAGATGCTGTTTAAATTCTCGGATGTGTATCCCTGTGGGGCCAACGAGGAGAGCGATTCCGTTGTACGAGATGACTTCATCATCACAAAGCTCCAAACGGAGGACGCGACGCGGCTGCTGGAGAGCATCGGCCGGACCGTTGCGCACGACCTGGACGGAGAGGACAGCTACGGCAAGTTCCTCCAGCGGGAGATCTCTCAGATCAGCGAGGCTTTTTCTAACGTGGACAAGTCTCTGTTGGAGTTGGAAGTGAAGTTTAAGCAAAGCCAAGAAACTGAGCTGAGAGAGGAGCAACAGCTGAACGGCTATGTAGTGAAACAAGTGAGTGACATCAGGGGAGCTCTGAGGGAAACGACAGACATCTCGCTGGGACTCAGAGACAAACATGAGCTGCTGACTCTCATCATTCGCAGTCATGGGACTAGACTGAGCCGCCTGAAGACTGAGTATCTTAATGTTGGTTCATAGAGGAATTAAGTCAGCTTAGTATGAGTGTGAGCGTGTGAGGGAGAGAAAAGACGCTCCAAACAATTTGAAAGTTCAGTGTGGCTCATGAATATAGTTCCTAACCACTTCAGTATCTCTGACCTTTGGTCTTTCCCATTCTCTGGAGCTTTGCCATTGAAGGGGGCTCTAACAAAAACATCAACACCATCCTCTAAGTCAGGAGGGGGAAAGGAGATGTGAACATAAATTATCTGCAAGGAGCCCTGTAACACATCTGAGGAAGGAGAGATTATGAAAATATAAGCCCTTCAACTGGATTTATTGACTTCCAGATGAATAAACACCAACCTTTTTGTCTTTGTGGTTTAAATTATGATGTTTGCAATTAATTTTATAATAACTGATCAAATAGTTACCTAATATTCATGACATATCTTAATTTTCTTTTTTGCTTCAAGTAAGACTAAATATTCCTCACTCTCTTTAAAATTAAATGAATAATTTTAGTTTGTCATATTCATTGTTTTTCTGTTGCATATTTGCCCTAATACATACATAAACCACCTCCATCCTTTGAAGCTTGACATTTGTATACAGATCAAACCTTTGAAATCTGAATTTAGATTTTCGGCAGTGGAAAGTGACCGTCCTTCCACGTCACGTCTTTACGTCATCACGTTTGTTGTTAGCTCTACAAGTGGCACATGTGACTGTCCCTTCAAGTTGGTCCTGGTTAGTCGGCATCTGGAGTCTGTCACTGCCTCCTGCTTCCATCTGGAAGTCATCTACTCAAGTATGAAATATGTTTATCCAAAAGGAGCCACTGTTGTCATTATCTGTTCTTTTGTCTGTCACAATCTATAAGGTCTATGGTTCATATGAAATGATTCTGTGTTGAAATTCAGAGTTGTTTGTGTCATTTTACTAAAATAGACGTATAAATGTGGCACAGCTTGTTTGAATCTCTTTCAAAGTGTTCCAGTTTTGTGTCGACATACCACATCTAATTTCAAACAAACTGTTTATGGGCGAAAAGTATTGTTGAACTGCTGAAAGGCATTAACTCTGAATTACACCCACACACTAAATAATCTGTTTTAAATTTCATTGCCTTGGATTTAAAATTCTGAAAGCCTTTAGTAGTAAACTTTGCACGTTCTGTTTTTAAGCTACCATTTAAAATCTGCATCAACCACAAAGTCACTGCCATAAGCGTGCCCATGTTTTACAGAGTTACTGTCTCTGCAGATGGGAGGGAGCCAGATGGGCTGCCATGGGTGCAACTGGGTGTGATTTCCTCTGTCTGGTTTTCCTCTCAGTCCAGCTTCCCCTGAGGGACCCCATTTTAAAAACAGCTCTCTGTAGCTGAGCAGTCGGCCAGCCCTGTCAAAAACCCAGAGCTGTAGGAGCTCCATGTGCAGAGAAACCCCATATGTCTATAAGGCTCTAAATTTCCAGGAGCGCTGCACAGGGCTCATAAGATTTGATTAAAAGATTAAGTTAAAATTCACACTGTGTAAGTCAGGAAACCTCACACATCTCGCCCATCTCCTTTAATTTGTCTATGTTGGCTCAAATTATTAATTCCACCTACTGCATAGGAAAATATTATTCTGTAGATTAGTTTCAGGTCTCCGATGCTTAGAAGGGAGAAGTCCTGAGTGTTAAGCCTGCAGTTAGACTGATCTATGTTAAGGACAAACAAAGACAGGTCAGGAATGCAGACCAGTGTTGACCTGACAACACAGTGATCCCTCTCTGTACAGAGCACAAAGCCCCCAAACCACATGTCTCTGTAGTGTTATTATTAGAAAGGCAAAAGCTATTTGCTTCAGGTCCTACTATAACTATTACTCCAATAAATACCACACTATAACTACCACTAGTATTACTATGGTTCAGCTAAATCTGTCACTACAGTGTTTCATTTTTGTGTCCTTGGCTGGTCATTGTTCATAGTTGAATGAGAGTAGAATGAGTTTGACAAAATAATTTGCCACTTACAAGGTTTTCAGGAGGTTACAACCATATCTCATAATCTTCATCAGCAACTTCACAAGAACTGAGAAACTTTCAAATACATCTCAGTGGGCCAACTCCAAAACTCTTACTGAACAAAGTCCATTCTTTGAAGACCATAATGAGCCTTCTGGGTCAAGTATAAAGCTATTCTTTAACAAATATACTGATAACAGCAAAACAAAATATGAGCTGCAGTCTAATATTTACTCCGACTCATTGGTGAGGAAATACTCACTGCTCTTACTTTAGCTTTACAAAGTGGCATTACTGTATACAACTAAATGTCCTGCATGCAAAATTTTACTTAAGAAAAAGCATTAGCATAAAAATTTACTCAAAGTACCAAAAGTAAGTGCAAATTTTGCAAACTGGCCCATTTTAGAATCACATACGCTGTTGCCTCACAGCAAGAAGGTTCTGGGTTTGAGCCCCATCCGACATGGTGCCTTTCTGTGTGGAGTTTACATGTTCTCCCTGTGCCTGCATGGGTTCTCTCTGGGTACTCTGACTTCCTCCTACAGTCCAAAGACATGCAGCTTAGGTTGACTGGTGACTCTAAATTGCCCCGAGCAGTGAGCGTAGGTGTGTGTGGTTGCTTGTCTACATGTCAGCCCTGTGATAGACTGGCGACCTGTCCAGGGTGATTATAACTATGGATACATTCATGTATTGAGTATCATTTTAATGTTGCACTTGGTGAAGGTGGGGCTGATATAACTACTTTAAAATGCCACAAAGTCACTGAGGGTGATCTGAGTTGACTATTTGGTGATGAGTGAATGTTGACTGCTAGTTAGGGACTGATGGCAACACTAAGGAACAGATGAGTGAGAGCAGGGAAAAGGTGGAGCAGGTGACAGGAAAGGGGAAGAAAGGCAAGGAGGAGCCATATCTGAAACAGAGAGGGAGAGTATATGATAAGAACAGTAAACAGAAACAAGAGTGTGTGAAATGATGAAGAAATGTCATGACAGAGGTCATAAAATTGAATTAAATGACAGACTAAACTAATCAGGACTTATTTAACCACCTGCAACATTTAATTACTTTTAATGCTGCAAGATGTAGGATAGTCTCCTTAGTAAACACACAGTGCAGGTGTTTGGTGTCACTGTTACCAGAGAGAAATCAGTGTGATGCTGCAGGGGATGTGACACTGGCATTCTTCTCAGTAGGTTTGGATCTATAAATACGTACATTTAGCTGCAGATACTTACATTCTGTTATGTAGATAATTTTTTTTAATCTCATTTTAACAGATTATTCCAGGGTGGTATTAATACTTACATAAAGAACTACTTGTCCCCCATTTGTGAACCAAGAATATAATGTTTTCATTCAAAACAACACGTTAGAATGTGCAAATAATAATGTAGTTTATTTTCTGCATTTATTTTATTTACTACATCAGACACTTGTAATAACTCCAGTCACCAATATGATTTTAACCAGCTGTCGCTGCAGCTTTTATCGCTTGAGCTTTCTAGTAGTAAAGAGGAGAATCTAAAGAGCAGAGAAACCTCAGGAAATGAGTGAAGCTGCATTTAAATTAGATGACAGCAAGATGTAATTTCTCATAAAAGCTATGGAAAAGTAATTTCAGCTCACAGTGGCTGGTATGAAAGTTTAGCTAAGTTGAAAAAAAACAGCCCTATTTAATTTAATCTGTTATAACAAAGTACAAATCTGTTCCTTTGTCAGTATGTTTACAGTATGTAGTCAGAGAATTTTCCATTTCCTTATTTGGATGTATTTTTTTGCAAATATATAGTTGAAATTTTTAAATAAGGTTTTATTTCATTGTATTGCACAGTGGAAAATAACTTTACTTTTTCCATTGTATTATATTTGGGTTGTTTTGTTTTTGTCTGTTTTATCACTTGGCTTTGGTCAAGTTTGATTTAAGTTTTGGCTACTGATGTTTTTTGCACTGAAGTGCTCACAAGTGGTTGAATAAACCAGGCGCCTGCAAATGTCTCTTTCCAACACAAATGTCTGCTGCTATAAAAGTCTGCTGACATACCAGGGAACTCATGTCATTATGTGAGGCTCAAAACAACCACAGAGAAATGTATGATGTATGTTCAGCATGTTACAAAGTGGGGGGAGTGGAGGAGGAATAGTTTGGCATGGCCGTTTTATTTTTAAAAATATTTTGATGGGAGTAAGACCTCAAAAACAACATCGTAATGCTTACATTTTTTTTCTTGAATCAACACAAATGCATCTGCATACATACAATTCAAAAGGTAAATGTACATATGTTATTTTGAATGGGTACATAATGATACACAGTTGCCCTTTTTAAATGTGGCATTACACATGTTGTATACAGAGTCCCGAGTTGTGCTATTGATTTCCTGCCAGTATTTATTTTAATCTTCTCAAACTATCAGATTTTACTGGAGGAAATGTGTATAATTATTCTCCTCTTGAAGAGCAAGCAATAAGACTGAACAGTTCATTCATAAAGAGGGACAGGAAAAAGCACCGTGAAATCGTCTTAAGTCAAATGTCAGTTCTTTTTTCATTTTCTTGTGAGTGAGAGTCAGTGTCCAGTGTCCTCTGCTTTCTCTGTGCCAGGCTCTGCTCTGAGTCCCTGGGTAATACTGTCTCTGGAACAGGGCTCGTCACTGTTTCAGGATGAGACAGGTGTCTATTGTAAGTGCAGCGACCTGTCACACACATCCGTTTTCCTGTCTGGGCTTGTGCGCCACAGGGGCGTGCGGAGGAGGGTAGAGGGAAGGAGCCAGTGTGCACAAGAAACCAGCCAACAACGTCAGGCCCAGTCCACCCCAAGCGCAAAACATGGACCAGCCATAACCGTGACTGATGTCCTCTGGCATGCCAAACATGTAGCGAGGATAGCGCGACAGCTCAAAGTTGATCCCAGCAACGCATGTACAAAGGGAAATGATGCAGCATGTTCCTGCCACAAAGGAAGAAAAAAAAAACAAAACAAGTGAGACACAACAGCAGCCCAGTTTCATATCCTCTGATGCATCATCTCACCATCCTCTACTGCCCCTCTGTGGTGATCCAGGGTAGTGCCCTTTATGTAAAGTACATCCTACCTCCCATGAGGAAGAGAAGTCCAGCGACATACTGCATCAGATCATGCTCTTTGTAGCATCCCAGCACGCCTATGATCCAGCCGAACAGGATGATGGATATGGCCATGCCTATGAAGCTGGCAGTCATCCTCTGGAGGTCTGCAAAAGCACAGGACAAGTGACGGCGTTTGTAAGGGCGATATGCGTCTCCATTAATTCATCAGATTATGAAAACGGGTTTGGATAACTCACGTAGCGCGTGCCACTCATCCTGCCTTATTGTCTTCGTCAGGTTGACTGGCAGATTTCTGGGCAACGCTGATGATGAGTAGTAGTATTTTATTGGCGTGCAGCGCCGAACCAATCCTGTGGATGTAAACAACACAAAAAAGGACACACATAAGCAGACGAAGAGAATATCACAGGCTCTCTGCTGCCATCCCCTCCCAAAAACAGCACCTAACCCCCTTTCCACCACCACCCACACATCCACCCACAATTGTAGAGTAGCTTATTGTACGCATCTCGAGACTTGTGTTACTACGACGTGCCCTTTTGTGCTGGGAGAGATACAGCACGTCGATTGTGTTGTAACTGTACTCAGTGTTATTCTGTGTACTCTGTTATTCTGTGTGGGCCTTCAGGGTCTGTGCGCAGCATCAGCACCTTGGATAGCGCATCCGTGTACTAAGTATTTACAGATTACGCCTCACACACAACAAATGTTCAGAAAAAAACATATGGTGATACACAATATGATGCCCCAAACCTAACCTTTAAAGATCAGATCCTCTGTCTCCAAGTCAAATGCCTCTCGGTGGCACTTTCTCCACAGTCCGGTGATGGTGGAGTTGTACTGCCGACTGCAGAGGGACTCCATGGCCGGGGCAGGAGGCAAGAAGTGCCGCTTGGCCCGTAGCAGCATTTTGCCGCTAACATCTGAGTCCTTTCTCTCCACGTTTTTCTCCTTTGGCAACATACGAAGTGGAAGGTTGTTGTTGGAGATGTAAATGTAGCCGGGATCGTTTCTTTTGTTTGAATAATTCTTGCAGCGTTCCCGGTGCCTCCTCGCGTCAGTCTCGTACCAGTAGTCGGTGCTGATCGCTATTGCTATCAGTCCCATAGCGCAAAATGCCAAAAAGAGACCTGCCACGGTTAAAGTCCTCATAGCAGCCATGTTCCATGCGTATCTTACCTCGGTGCCGTGATAAATCCACGGGATAGCAGGACTCCGGGACTTGGCTGCTGCTGTCAGTGTCTGAGGTGGGGAGGAAATTCAGCAAAACATAGACACCTGAAATGCAGATATATCCTCAAAACCCTCATTTCTCTGATTTGTCAACCATCGCCAAAAACAACCAAATTCCGAGGCGGAGGATAAATACATTTGGGCTTCGAAGGGCTCTTCTGGTTGTTTCCTTTATGGTTCTGAACTCAGTCTAGCCAGGGAGCCTGCTGGCCAATCCAACAATCTTCTCCAGTAGATGGAGACAGAGCAAATATATGAACGCACATCAAGCCCCAGGCCTGCACTGACAGTACTGTAGATGATGCTCTGTTGTGGAACACTGACAAAGTTTGTCAAAATCCTACAAAAGGAAATAGCCCCCCCACTCCTCAACCACCACCACCACCACCACCACCACTACCACCCACCATCTCCTGTATTACCTCAGCTGCTATTGTCTAGTGTTATGAAACACCAAATGATGGAGCCTAGTACACCCCACAGAGAGCCTCATGGTGTATAAGAAACAGATTATGTATGTAACTTTCCATCCTAAACATGTAGAACACCATGTGATAAGTCTGGTTAACTGTACTAGTCATAAAATTCTACAATTGAAAATAAAACTGTCAAATTAAAGTTGTTTATTCATGATGAAACAACATCATCCAGGATTTAAATGATATAATTAGTTGTGTTAATAATGTCTAACATCTAAGATCAGTGTCCACGACAGATGAAGTCTTTTATTCCACACTTTCTGGGTTTAAATATACAAAAGAAGCAAGGTACAAGGACAAGGGTGGCTCCAAGCATTTCAGTCATGTTTTCACTGGCTTCATTGTCGTGGTCAGTACTTCCTCAGCTGAAACCATATCCTCAGACTAAAAGAGGAACAAAGCTGATTCCAAACTTCACTTTTGGTTTCGGCTCCCATGTGCAGTAACTCTTGAAAAATTCCTACATGTATAAATCATATCGGGGATTTGCTGTGATTGATAATATGAAACTGATTAAATGAGATTTTCTTGAACAGTAGCTTTATGAAAGCCATTTTCCTACTTAATTATGAAGTGTTGAACTAAACAATTTAAAACTGTTTAGTTTTTGCCTTGTTTTTGCCTTGTGTTAGAAATGAGTGCAGGATTAGAGTTAATGCTGCTCTATCACAGCAGCTCTTCAACTGATGACTGGGGAAGTTGAAGCATGCAAGAGAGCAGCATTATGTGTGATAATTAATATCTATTTTTAACAGTGGGGATTTTTTCACAAATACTTTAGACGATTAAAGTGGATACTAATAGCCAACAAAAAATGTCATATGGTTTAGGGAAAATAACTCTTAAACTTTTTATAATACTGTAACATCTAAGTCTTTCATTGTACTGTACAATTATTTGTCTTAGACATGCAGGAAACATCGTCGGCTCACACATGACATTCGGCCATCAGGAACTAGCTGATCATATGAATTTGATGATTGGATGACATGAATGTAGACTGTTTAAGGTCCAGCTTATTTCTCATTTTCAGTTCCCATTTTTCTGGTGAAGTCAGAGCTGTTTGTTGGGTGAAGCAACAAGAAAAAGTTCTCATTCACCATCAGCTTCAAGAAATAGGAGTCTCATGCTGCCTTGTTTACATGATGGACGGATATGTCATATCATCTGTAAGTGCTACTGCTTTATTGTTTCATGTTTGACTTTTTACAGAACAAATCTAGTATTTCATCAGTTTTTACAGCTGTTTCTACTTTTGGGTAAGATATATTACGATTACTGTATCTTTAAAAGTAATTCCAGTAATTCACATTATTTATTGTTGAACATGAGGAGAAATTACTTCAGTGTGTTGTGTGTATAATAAAGACATATTAGGTTTTCCTGGAAATTGGAAAAGTAACATGAAATAAGATATCTTATGTTTGAAATTATGTCTTGCCCCTGGTGGTCTGGCCTACTCTATTATTTATTCTGTTCATTATCTGTCTTTACGTTCAATTGAAAGCAATAAAAATACATTTTTCACAAAATATTCGAACGTAATTCTTGTGTAACAACTAATGATCATATCTGACACTGTTTTAGCAGGGCAAAGAAGCACAAACCTTTACTCTCTCAGTGACAAAATCAAGTTTCCCCCCTCCAAAGTCCTCGGAGGAAATTATTCCAAATGAGCCAGAGAACTATCGACCACCTGCGGAGCTGTACCCCTACCTCACTAATGTGGGGGAGATTTATGAAGGTGAGAACTAGATCTAAGTGTTTTAAAAAGATAAGAGGATGGTTCACTGTTCAGCTGAGTGCTTAAACGTTTGTTCCATTTTAAGACCACAGATGGACTTTTCACCCTGAGCGCATCCAGCTGCCGGACTTTGAGATTTCACCGGTGAATCCACTCACAGAGCTTCAGTCTGTTTCTCCTCAACAACTGATACAACCGTACCGCTACAGCAGTGAGTCTCTGCCCCTTCACTTGGACCCTCCACTCACATCTCTCTCTGTTTCACCACAGGTAAGTGCTTGTGTAACAACGAGTGAAGCCACTGCTGTAGAAGACACGTGTGGCTTGATAAAGATCCATATTTCCATGCTGATGAGGAAATGTTCAGTATGATCACACACATTTCATCCAAAACCACCATTTTAAAGCAGGGAAGAAGCTCTGTAAATTGAACCTAAGGTCACTTTTGAATGTGATATTATTATTAGCATGTAGCAGTAATCTTTCACACTGGTGAAAAACCATTCTGTCCTATTACTACATTAAAAGTCTGAATACTCACTATATTTCCCCTGAGTGAAGAGACTTTTACCCACTGCAGTTTAAAAATAGATTGGCAAAGGAGCTAAAGCATCAACAGAAAGATTCAGACTTGGTAATTTTTACACAGGCATTTCCCTCTTAAGTGAAAATGATGGCAAATTAACATCTTAACTGAGATTGACACAGATGGTTGTTCCTTATCAGTTAATCTGTTGATTATATTCACTGTTTAGTCCATAAAATATCAGAAAACTATTAAACATGCCCATCATAGTTTTCCAGAGCCATAAGCTGACTTATTCAAACCGTTTGATTTAATAAACCAGTGGCCCAGTTTACTATCATATGCCAATTAGTATATTCTGATTTCAACTCTTATGTTAATATACATAAATATTGTATTTCTTTAGTACGGCTTTAGAATAAACGTTTCTAGAATAAATACTGCTAACAATACATTAAATTTAAAGCATGGAAGGATAATAAGACAATGGTGCCCAGACATGTAAAATGGCCCAACCTCACATTTAGAAGCAAGACTCACAGACTGAGCAACCATACGATTTGTAGTCACCTAGTACAGTAAATTCTTGTAGTTGTTTTGCATCTGTTTGTAGTAATTTTGTGCAGATTTTTATTCATTTAGCATTTTGGTAGTCATTTTGCATGTATTTTTTTACCAGTGTTTTGTCTACATTTTAATTTTATTGCATCTTCTTGGTTGTTTTTGGGCCTCTTTTTATAGTTTGGCATATTTATGTTGCTGTTTTGCTGTCTTGGGATCTTTTTTGTATATTTTTATTCATTTTATGTCTGTCTTTGTACTTGTTTTGCATCTATTTTTACTCATTTTCTGGCTTTTTACAGGTTTTTTTGTAGTATTTTGATTGACTTTCCAACAGAAAGATTAACATAGTTCTCTGGTTTAGGGCTGCCTGACTCCTTAGGCACTTTCTTGTGTCTACTAGGCCCGCTAAGTAATCCATCCATGATTTTAAGAAGTTACTTAGCATTTTTGAAGGAAAAAAAAACATTTTTGTGAACATTTTTATGTCCACAACACAATGTAGACAGTTGGGGATATTTTCACTGAAATGTCAAACACACCACATGGTCTTGCTGAATACTGAATTCTATTTTCACAGAGCTACTTCCTCTTTTAGTACAATGACCTTGTTTAAACAAAAATGTCAGAGAGTGAGTAACTGAAAAACAACATAACTGTAACTCTGTTTTGTCCTTGTTTAATCTTGACCTATGACATGCTTTAAATTTCTCCTAAAGATCCCATATTACACCCCATCATTGTGCTACCAGTATCAACCCGCCACCTCGCCTGGCCATTACTACTCAGAGGAGGAACAAAGAGTAATCAGTCCCCCACTTGAGGTATCAGAAGGGGAGGATGAATGTGACCACAACCACTTCTCCTTCAGAAAAGACACTAGTAAGTACTTCTAATCAAAATTTTCTACTGACATCAAATCCTAGTCATGTTGAAGCCTGGAAAAACTGATAAATCCCAGGCAAAATGGCTGGAAAGAGTCTCATGACTTCCATTACAGATCACAAGAAGAAAATCCGCCTGTACCAGTTCCTCCTGGACTTGCTACAAAGTGGAGATATGACCAACAGTATCTGGTGGGTGGACCAGGACAAGGGCATCTTTCAGTTTTCCACAAAACACAAGGAAGCTCTGGCCAGCCACTGGGGTATTCAGAAGGGCAATCGCAAAAAAATGACCTACCAAAAAATGGCTCGAGCTCTGAGGAACTATGGTAAAACTGGAGAGATTAAAAAAGTAAAGAAGAAGCTGACATACCAGTTTAGCGAGGAAGTGCTGAGGAACCTCTCTTTACGGCACTATCCTCACTGATGATTGAACAAAGTCTGTCTTTTATGCTGAAATCACTAAAGTAGCCATTATTCTGTTTTGCCTGTAGATTTGCAATCTCATTCTTTTACTGCCAAATTTTTCATACTTATTTATTTGTAATGTCTGTGCATTTCCTCTATGGCATTTCTGAACCTTTCTTATAAAGTGCTTGTTTTCACAATTAAATGGAGTTTGTGGAATAAAGGATGATTAAAGGTCAAGGACAGGTAAAAAAATTGTTTGACATGACCTTTTTGTTATGAATGTGTGAATGAATATGTTTTATTCCTTTTGCAAAATCACTCAAACTGCTCCAACAAAACTTGTTCACAGTGTGCACATGGTGTAATCTTTTTCTAATTCAGTGCAGCAAGATTTGAGTTGTCTAGCTGGTGTCTTAAGTGTTATTAAAATTGGACAAAGGAAGAACAACTGGACTGATATATAAATATATATACACAATAATGTCACATTTTAGACAGTTGTAGTAATTGATGGTACTTACAAGACAAGAAAATTAAAGTAAACATATAGTCATGAACTTAAAAAAAAAACTGCAGAAAAATCGAAAATTCAACCATGCACATTATGCAAAGGTGAAATTCAATTTTTTGCAAAGAAACTTTGCAGTTGCAAGCAGGTTTTAAAGACTGTAAAAGTTTTATTTTAACTTTATGTACAAAACTGAACTTACAACAGCTTAATATTCAGGCAAAACATGTGCTTGGGGTAACATCAAAATAATAGTACACCAAGGAAGAAAAGGCAAAATACAATAAAATATGGATAAAATTCATTACATACAGTTCTAGTTTTGACAGCTTTAGAGAATGTGCAGACATTTAATCGGTAAAAAATAGGCCTACCTACAGAAAAACTAGCGCCCCCTGGATCATGTTCCTACTACGTTGTAGTAGTTTTGCAATAAAGAAGACAGCTTCCGGTGACGTCAGTTTATTAAGCCAATCAGAGCACAGACGTTGTTTTGCGCACATTTCAAATGCCGTGGACACGACAAACGGATTGCTAGCGAGTTAGCCGCACTCTGACGAATTATCTTCTGACATTTAATCTGACTGTGGTGGAACCATGAGAGTGAGGTTAGTAATTAACATCTTTATTAGTCTGTCCTTCAGTTAACGTTAATACAATACCACATACTTGGCAAACTCGTTGCTGATTAGCCTGTTGATTTTAGATAAGTCAACTGCTAGCTTTGTTGTGAAGAGAGGCACATAACGCTAGCTTGTATCACACGTCTGTGTATAGATAGGTAGATAGAAATACTTTATAAATCCCAATCTGGGAAATTGCATTGTTTCAGCAGCGGTTCACACTCAATATCAAGCACACAAACCAATAAATAGAATAGATAACCCACTAAAATATAAAACAAATAAAAATACATTAAAAGTTAAAAACAAACCCAACACAATCACGTACATATACATAATCTATGTATGTGCTGCAATGAAGAATTTTGAATTGTAAATACGTTAATTTCATGATACATACGAGCTAGTATCACTTAACTTTAATGTTATAACTAATACTACAGCAAATGCAGCTAACGTTAGCCTGCTTGGTGAATAAAATGATGTTCGTATTTAACGTTAGCTAAGTTAATTATTCCCTAATAAACAGTCCGCTAAGTTACCTTTATCCGATTTTAAACTCGTCGTTAACGCTGATACTGCACTAGTTAGACTGGTAACAAGTCTGTGGTGTATAACACAACACTGACCCACTCAGGTACCTGGTTTTCTTGCAGTGAAGTCCACGCAGCAGAGTCTGTTGCCTACTTCAACAGGGCAATGGCCAGGTTGCAGAGCATTTGGGAAGAAATCGGGATTCCAGAGGAGCAGAGACTAGAGAGAACCAAAGAAGAACTAAAGCTGTTCACAAGCACATTAAAGTGACTCCCGCATTTGTTTAAATTAATTGAAGGCTAATTGTTGACTTTACAGAGCTACCATACAGAGACATTTTTTATTTCCCTTGCCCTGCAGGGTTTGCTAGATCTAATGATTGATGAGGAAGAGGCGCTCAAGGAGAAATTGGAGAAAAACATAGAGATCAATCACAAGGAACTTAGTAAATTATGCAGTGAGCTTCAGTTGCCCCCCTTTGAGGTATAGTACATTAAGGAAATTTAATTTTCTCATACCTGACCGGGAAAACGGCTTACTGTTTTGGGCTAACTAGCTGGATTTCTCTAAAGCAGGAGGTTGGCCACACTATGCTGCAGAAGGAGAAGAACAGCCGCACACATCTAGAGGTGATGAAGGAGCACAGGAGGCAAAGAATGGAGGAACTTAAAGACCTTGCTGTCAAAGACCGTAAACTGTGTGATATTATGTGCACTACTCCATTTTCTATTGACCATGATGCCGTCCCATCACTGAAACAGCTGGAGAAATACCATGCCTACATTGATGATCTGACCAAAGAAAAGGTGTTGCTTATTCTCTTTTTGTTTCACTTAGTCCTTTACTTTAAAATTTGGATCGTAACTTGTCTCACTTGTAACTGTCTTTTCAGGATCGTTGTCATGATGAATTTATGAGCATAAAGAAAGACATTGTTGTGTGCATGGATGACCTGGAGCAACAGCCAGAGACCAGTTTTGAGATGGATGTGATGTATGGAGATGAGGAGGCATTTTGCTTGTCAAATGACAATATGTCTGCTCTTAAACTGCTCCTCAGTCAGGTGATATTTTTAATTAGATGTATGGTAATCTGACATTATGATGTGAAAGGCTGCAATATCACATATTGCATTATATTTTGGATATATGATTTCTTTCCAGTTACAAGAACGCAAGACTGAGAAAGAAGTACGTTGTTCAGCTTTCCGCACTAAGATCCAGGAACTTTGGGATAGACTTCAGATTCCCCAAGAGGAGCGGGAGGCCCTATCTGAGCATATGGTCAAGTCAAAGAAGAAAAACATCGAGGCAGTAAGAAATCAGTGACCTTATAAGTGATTTCAGACATAGTAGTATGATGTTTCACAAAGCACTACTACTAGGACTGTGGTGGTTAATTAGCACAGACGATGCCCCTGCCACCGTTTTATGTCCAGTTAGGTCACAATATCAACATAACCACATAGTGATTTAAAATAGGATTAATATTATTTCAACTTAGTGCCGTGCAAAGCACATGTACACACACACACACAATGCTGTCATTTGCGGAGATCCAACTCTTCTAATAGGTTAATAGCAAGCTAGTAAGGCTAGCTAAGCTATCATTAGAATACAGTTGTTGCCAAGGTCAGCATGTTGTGTATATAGCATGGATGTATATGGACTGCTCAGCAAGTGGATAAAGTTTAGGCTAATTCTTAAACTCTGATGCTGAATGTTTGCCCACTCAGTCCAGGCTTATGTGACTTGTCCTAGTGGGTTTTGTTGTACTTTTCTCCTCATCTTGCAATTTGCTAAATAGATCTGAACTTAATGCATATTAACTTAATGCTACTGGGCTGGGGCTACCTTCTATTGTAATGCATGCTGACAAAAAATAAAACAAAGGCTCAACTAGAAGAGTCTCAGTTAAATGACAGGCCTTGCGACTAATGACTCAAGTATTTGGGGGCAGCCCTAGTGATGAGCGATCAAACTGTTTCATTTCAAATATTTATTGGTTTCAACCAGTGCTGTTTAGGTGACGAGAGGGTCAGGAAGAGAGAGATGTAGGAGGGCAACATACTGCTGTAGGAGAACTGTTGCACCTCCATTGTTTTGCATTTTGTAAATTTCAGTCAAATAAGAATTTTTCCAGTTATATATTTAGTCACTGAAGATTTCTTAATGTTCTCATGAACCCAATTTTGTCTATCATTTCATCTTGTGAGCTAAGCGTATCATCCTACCCATACTACTAACCCCACCCCATAACAAGTAGTAATAATATGTATTTTCTGTTTCAAGCTCCAGGCAGAGGTCCAGCGTCTAGAGGTGCTGAAAATGCAGAGCATGAAGAGTATCATTGAGGCCATAAGAGCCGAGATAGCCGTTCTATGGGAGAAATGCTTTTGCAGCCAAGAACAGCGGCAGGCTTTTGTTCCATATCATGATGGTAAATAAGAGTCCTTGCACTGAATATACATAGTTGATGATCACAAAGGGAGTGTGGATCTCTGCATGTTGTCTTTCTACAGATGATTTCACTGAAGAGCTGCTCAGCCTGCACGAGGCTGAGGTCAGGACCCTGAAGAACTGTTATGAGGACCATAAAGAACTCTTTGAGGGAGTCACAAAATGGCAGGAGACCTGGTCGTTGTACTTGGAACTTGACGTGAGTGATCTGCTCATTAATTTTGTAAAGACACATTTATAACAAACTCCTGTTAGTGTGCTAACGTGTGCATGCATTTCCCATTTCAGAAAAAAGCTAATGACCCTTCAAGGTTCAACAACAGAGGTGGTAACCTTCTGAAAGAAGAGAAGCAGAGAACTGATCTACAGAAAAGTTTGCCTAAGGTGAGGAAACATTTAGAAGTGATTTTATTTTTATCTTCTGAAATGCAAAGGATTGCAACTTAATTAAGCAGTTGTCTGCTTGTAAGTGAAGCTGTCAGTGGGAGTATAAAAAACAGGTAAACAAATAAGCAGAGTGGAAACAGCTGAGGGAGTGTAGGTGCATTACCAGTTTTGACCAACAGGTGGGGATGCTTAAACATCTTTTGTAGTTCCTGTACATTTAACTGTGGTGCAGCATATTCGTGCAGAGGAATGGCAGTGTACTGTTATGTGATGCATGCTGGGAGTCCCCTGTCACTGCTAAATCTGCTGACATGGCAACAGTGTGAAATGAGTTTTCTGTTTTGTTCCAGCTGGAGAAAATTCTGAAGGCCCAGATTGATGTTTGGGAACAGGAACATGGCAAGAAGTTTTTGGTACATGGGCAGAACTTCCTTGAATATGTGCAGCAGCAGTGGGATCACCACCACACTGAAAAAGAGAGAGAGAAACTGGAAAGGGTATGTATTTAAATAAATGAAACTTTAAATTCCTTCTCATAGGTGTTAATCTATATGATTGAGTATTTTGTTTGCAATAGCAACTGAAGAAAAGCAAACAGATCCAGGAGGACATGTTGTATGGGACCGCAGTGAAGACCCCATCCAAACGGCGGATAGCAGGGACTCCTACACCTGGAAAAGCAAGAAAGGTGAGATACAGCTGCACTTTTGTTTTAGTGGATTGTGTCAATACTGTCAGTGTAGTAACACTGAAGAAGTTGGCCCACCTTTCTGCCTCTCTCCACTTAGCTCACTGGCACGTCAACCATTTCTACTCACAACACCATCCTTAGCGCAGCCCTCAGTGGAACCATGTGCCAGTCCTCCTTCCAGAAAGCGCCTTTATCTGCCAGCAAGGTGTGCTCACTGTTGTCCTCTCCACTCATTGCACTGACATTTACATCACATTTTTAAAGGCCGAATAGACCACAGACTTTAAAATGGGTTACCACTGTATCTTTTACTGAGTTAATTCATTTTTGGTTGTAATAGATATTTTATGGCAGATTTTGTCTTGTACGGTAGATTCCCACCCTTACAGTGCTGGTCCCAATTAGCTATGCCAAGGCTGAACAACTGGGTAAAACATCTAGTTCTTTATTGCATACAATACAGTAAGAAAACCAACCCAATATCCTCATACAAGGCTAGTGCTGCTTACAGCTTGTCTGCACAGTTACTGCTGCTAGATGTACTGAACTATTTGGATTTTCTGGTTTTAACTTCTTTCTTCAGAGCTCTTTGGCCACTTTTTAACTTTGTTTATTCACGTAAAGCAAGTCAACAATACTCCACTGCTGCTGCCTCAGTGTAAATGATTTTGGTTTGGTTGTAGGGTCTTGGCCTGCGAACCCCTGGATATTGCAAGACTCCTCGTGCACTAGAACGTAACAAGGAAAATGTCACCCATCCTAGTAGAAATGCTCCAAGTGCCAAGTCTCCTGAGACTGAGCTCACCTTCAACTTTAACACTATTGCTGGCTCCTATTCGGAATTTACGGTAAGTGCAATTTAAATCTGTTTAGTTTTTAACTACAAAATGTCCATTCGAGTAAAAATATAGTTAAGGAAAATACTCAATTACATCAGTACCACAAATTACCACTAAGTAGCATTTTATTAATGAAATTTATAGGATTATACAGCATACATGGTAATTTATCTTACCATGTGATACCATTTGGCGTCACAGTTGATAAAATGTTTAAATTAGGGATGTCAACGTTAATGCATGATTAATCAAAGGTTGTTTTTTTTTTTTTTATGCGTTACTTTTTTTTGACACAAATTAATCATTTGATAAGTTTTGACCCCAACTTCTTGCCGTCATCGCAGCGCGGATGGCTATCTATTGTGTGATAAGGCAGGGTAACGTGACCGTTGTTTTCTGCCATTGTTACAACACAATGACAGAAAACACACCACCTGGTGTGCTGAACGGCAAGTTTCGTTATAAAAAGCTTCCAGATGGAAGTCTGGATAAAACCAAAGTTGTGTGCATCCTGAGTGCAGCTGGCGCACGCCTGTCAACAAAACAACAACAGCAAAGCTAACCAATTCCATCACTAAATGGATCGCCACAGACTGCAGACCCATCAGCATAGTTCAAGACATCATTCAGATTGCCACAGGCGACCCATCATACCAGTTACCTTCGAGGGGAACTATTGTTACGAGAATGCATGAACTGTACGACAGTGAAAAAGCTAAAAAAGTGAGTCAGTTGTCAGAAGGCACTTTCATAGCACTTACTGGAGACCACTGGACATCAGTAAGTAACCAAAACTACCTCGGTGTAACGGCACACCTAATCTATGACAACTGGCACTGTAGAGACTGTTCATTTTGTCTCTGTACGGACATTTAATTTCTAAAATAGACCTATAATAGAAATGTTGATTGTTGAGAACGGAGGGTCTGTTTCCTTAAACTAGTTTTGTTATACATTTCTTTACTTCAGATCAAGAATGTACAGAGTGTTCATTTTGTTTTTGCAGACATTTCATTTCTGAAATGGTATTATAATATGTTAATTGTTTAGATGATAAAACTGGAGGATATGTTACCTTAAACTAGTTTGACATGCATTTCTTTATTGCAACACATTTACAGGTAAATCATAATATTTTAAATTTGTGATTAACTTGATTAAATTCTTTAATTGATTTGACAGCCCTAGTTTAAATCTTAATCTACAATCTTAATCCCCTCATCTGTATATTTTTGTATTTGGCAGAGAAATTATTGTGTAGAAAATGTTTAGAAATGAGGTGAAATATCAACAATTTTTAAAAAGACAGGATTGCTAGCATGACGAGCTTTGAGCCATCCTTAGTCTCTTGATCATGTACAGTCAAAATTTTGGTAATTATCAAATGACACAACTGTGCTGCCAGGAATACACAGTGAACTAATTTATTTGATTAAATATAAAATGATTCATGCATCAGCATGCATAGTTGGTGGCAGTACATGTAACAGCATTACAAGCAACAGGTACCAGAATCTTTTTATTCAAATTAGTGTAGTAGGTTGTGAGAAAATGGTGAATAAATGTCCAATCTTACTCCGTTTATTTAAAAACAAAATAAAATCCCGGCATACCGCAGACTTGTTCGCTTGTTTCCACAAAAAATATTTTTCAGCAATTAATGTATATAGCTTTCATTTATATCAGAGGATAACATTTGAAGTGTTCTATTTTTTATTTCTCAGACTTCCCATACAGAGACTAAAGCCAACAATGATTTTCTTGCACTTGCCATAATGTCTGAATACAGAACCTGGTTTAGCTTATTCATCTATGCTGTAGACGTCCATCGTTTCCAGAAGTGATTAAAACACCAGTGAGTGCTGCCACTGCACTGGCTGGCATGTTTCCATGTGGGTTATTTCAGACGAGCCCCAAAACCTAAGAATGGCCAGCATTTTCTTTTACTGTCTTTTGAAGTAAGAGAGTCAACTGTGCATGATCACAAGCTTTTTTTCTTTTTTTGACATAAGACATGGACGTCTACAGGACAGATGGATAAGCTAAATTAGGTTCTGGATTCACAGACATTATAGATTATAGGGTGAGTACACGAAAATCATTTCTGGCTTTAGTCTCTGTGGAAAAATAACCAAACAGATGTTCTTTTACACATCACATTAAGAGGTGGATGCTAGAAATTGTATTCAAGTTGGCTCCAATATCTTGACATGCAAAATGAACACACATACTGATACTCATTTGTTTTTATCTACAGCATGACCTCACGAAGGCTTCTAAATCAAATGTGAAGACAGGGCTGCTGAACTCCACTGTCAGTCAACAGTGATGGTTCACAAGAAGCGAGTCGCCGTCACACAGTGAGCCTGGTCTGGGTTTTATAGTGAACTATAAACTTTAAATGTAACTATATTAAGACTCAACCCTGTTTTTAGACTGTTTCAGGGTTACTGCTAGTTCTCTGCTTTGTGTACTTTTATGGCATTGCTTTAATTAAGATGTAATACTTTTATTACTGTAGCAGTCAGCCAGTGCACCGTGATTTTCTTACACCAGCGGACTGATGGCTGAATTTGCTTTTTAAAGATTTTGCATTTTTTTTATCACGCTGTAAATAAACTTTTAAAAAAGAATATTCATCCTTACTGAGCGTAACAAGTGTCACATATTTTACATCTGAATGTCATTCTAAACTTAAGTTAATATAAAACCTGTGAAATTCAAACATTATCTTCAAGTATGCTATTTAGACTAAATACAGTAATTTTTTTAGTACATCACACATACTGTAGATGTAAAAAGTCTCTTGCTCTGTTCAAACTCCACGTGTCACGAGTTCTTCAAGAGCCCTCTCACGGTGATTCTCATGAACAAGCAGCACTTCTTTGATTGCACTTTGCTGGAAGCCCATCTCATTAAACTGAGTCAGGAGGTGCAGGAACTCAGCAGCCTACAAAAAAATATTAGTGTCAATACACTAACTACAAAGATATAACTGTGGTTCTGCTTTTCTTTCATACAAGTAAATCACCTTGCTCTCACAGTTTTGAAACATCTCCAAAGCTTCTTCCACTTGTGCTTCATCATAGCCCAGCTCACACAGACGGTCACTGGCAACCAGATATTTTAGGATCTGTTTAAAAAAACAAAAAACAAAATTGAGAACGTGTTTGGCCTTGATTAAAAACAAATGGTAAACCAAGATGAAATGCCTTCATACCAATGTAAGCGTACAGTATGTTTATATGGTTAACTGTGCTTCTTACATGGCTGTTCTCATTTCATAAATGAAGCTCTGGGCTACAGAGCATATACAGAATCCCCAATTCTTTTTAGTTAGTGCCCAGGAAAGACTGCGTCCAAGAACTAATTCATTTGGAGCATTTATTAATTACAAAAAAAAAACTTGGACGGGTTATTGTAATGTGGTATTTAGGCAGCATTTTATTTATGTGGAAGAAGTACTTGGATGTTTTACCCAAGTACCACAATTACCACTTAATTTATTTGTGAATATTTTGTTTTGTTAATCTAAGTTTATAATATAACTAGTGATCAACTAACTTAAATGTGGGGTAAAAAAAATTCTTTTTTTGTCTGAAGTAGCAAGTAAATGTAAATAAGTACAGGTCTAAGTATTATACTTGTACTGTTCACCTCTGGTTATCAGGGTTTATATACCATTAATTAATAACAGCAGTGGAAATGAGTACATTTACCCAAGTAAGTATAATTTTGAGGTAACTAGAGTATTTTCACTTTCTACTACTTAGTGCTTTGGGTTCACTATATTGTAGGGATAAATATTGTACTTTTTACTCCACTACATTTATTTGATAACTTCAACTACTAGTTAATTTTCACATCCAGATTAATACAACAGATTAAAGTATAAGACTTTATTGATCTCTAGTGGGAAATTCACAAGTTACCCAGCAATAAAGTTTAATTATAAGCACATAGGGCAATTAACAGTAGCTCCATAGATATGTCAGTAATTCAATAATGTGTCACTATGAGTTCTTTTACAATTAATACTTTAAGTATATTTTGATGCTAATGGTTTTGAAATTATAATTTTGAATGCAGAACTTTTACTTGTAACCGAGTATTTTTACACTGTGGTACTGCTACTTTTACTTAAGTAAAGAATCCGAGTCCTCCTTCCAGCACATTTTCTAAAGACAGTACCTACCTTCTCTGTGCTGCGATAGCCTGTCTTCTGCAGAGTCAGAATGGCTGTGTGCAAGGGGTAGCCCTTCTCTGTGATGGCGTCAAGCAGCTCCCTCTCTTCCTGGCTGAGCGCAGACACCAGCTCTGCTGCCGAGTCCAAGAAAACCCCCCGAGGGCTGCCAGTCCTCAAGGCCTGATTACAAGAGAAGAACAGACGAGCACTGTGGATTATGAAAAAGGAGGGAGTAGAGAAGTGACAAAAGTATAAGAAATACTGAGACATTCACAGGAAAAATAACCTTTTGCCGATGGTTTCTGATGACCGGCCCTGCAGAGGAGGGTCGTTGCTGCTGCAGCCTGGATGGAGAGGAACTGGTGGGTGGTTTGTTTTGGGAGTGCTTTCTGCCAGCAGATGCCAGTGAACACTGCCTCCTCTTGTCGTTCTTGTGCACATGAGGAAAGGGGCAGGCCTGCTGTGACCTGTGCTGTTCCACCGCTCGCAGAGGTTGTCTGCAGTCTTGGAGAGAAGATGAACGGTCTCTGTGGCCCCTGAGGCTCTGAGGTGACTCAGGCTTACAGTGGTGAGTGGAAGCACCGAAGTGCATGTCTTTGACTCTGGAGAGTGGATCTTTCAGTGCAGTCCGGGGTCGCTCTCTGCTCTTGATGGGGTGAGGTGCATCTTCAGCGGAGGAGCTTTCATTATCCTCATAATAACCATCTTCATCAGAGTCAGATAAGAGGATCTTGACAGTGCGATGGTGCAGGCAGCAGGCGTCTGCAGAGTTCAGGCTGTAACTGCGGGGCCGAAGGCTCAGGACCCACAGGTCGCTGCTCCTGTGATTGGTCCTGCGGTTCTCCTGAGGGCTGCTGAACATCAACCAGTAAGGGGGACAGGATGGGACCTGACTGACTGACTGCTGTCCAGTTAAAATCTGTCTCTCTAGGTTGAATCCATACTGCAGTGAAATCCAAAACAATAACAAAAAGATTTTCAGACCGACGTTTTCCACAGCAAACATTTTGACCTTGTCACAGTAGAAAAAGCACAGATGTTACTGATGACATGAACAGTGGCCCCGTTACATTCATGTCCCACTAAACCATAACAGTGAGCCACCATGAACAGTTCCAGGACCCCGAAACTGAAGCAGCTAAATGGAATTTGGCATAATTAATGTTATTTACACATGTGCTTTTCCTTAGGTGACATCTTCTGTGAAAAAGGGCAATGAGGATAATGTCAGCAATCCAATACAAAAGTAAAGACAAATGCAAGCCCTGAAATACTTTTCAACTTTCCAGGAAGAAAACAAAACTTTTAAAAACCTTTTAGACCCCAGTGCTAGATTTGAATAAATCATAACAAATTCTCTTTTAGCAGTAATTGCAAAAAGCCTATATGATCTAAAAAGTGAGACAAAACAGTCACCTCAGTTTCTTGCAGTATCTGCTGGCAGTCTGGTATAGTGATATCTGGAGCCGTCACCATCTGTGGGGCCAGCAAGGTCTGGAACGGGACGTCCTCCAGGGTGTTCATTGTTGCATTGACAAGTAAGCTGCATCAAACAAAAACAAAAAAATGGTTTCTGAGTTTACAGCCACAAGCCAGACCTGTGCTGTATTTTTGTTATTTCTTACCTTTGGTGTGTATTTTCTTTCTCCGAGGTCCACCATGCTCTGGAGCGTTAACAGATGTTTGGAGCAAATGACTAACACAGACATCATCGTAAGCAATAACCCTCTTCATCACTAAGCCTCTGACATCATTGGAGGATTTGTTTACAGTAACACCTCGGGCACATGTCAGAGTAGTGCAAACAAAAATACAAAACCATAATTTGTTCACATTTTACATTTACTATATAGCCGTCCCTGGTAGGCTAGTGGTTAGGGCACAGCACTCTCACCGCTGGGTCCTGGGTTCGAGTTAGGGTTGCATCAGGAAGGGCATCCGGCTTAAAACACGCCAAATGTCAACATGTGGCGACCCCCTAAACGGGAAGAACAGAAAGTGACTTTCTTTATTAACATATTTCTGTTTAATTGACTGCAGCTTCTTATTCTTATGTCCATATGTCCATATTCAAAGCCACTTTTCACATAGTGATGAGATTAGGGAAATGCTGAGGCACTGGGAAAACAAGAACAGCACAGCAGTTTCACAGATTAGTTGATTACATAACGCTGAGAGTAACAGCGCAGCACAACCTTGTGATGTCTGTGACATTCATTTCCTGTGTCAATGATTTATAAGTGCAATGAACATCTGAGAAAACCTCATTTGGACTGAATTTTTATTATTTTTTTTTTTTTACAGAGATATATTTATTTATATATTTTAAACAATTACAATAGATTTAAGATTCACAAACTCGGGCAAGTTTACAGGTTCTGTAATAGACCTCTGAAAACAGAGAAGCAGTTTTTAAAATGACAAAGAAAACTTAAAAGCAAAAGGAGAACAGATCTAGTTTAATCTCTTTTTATAGCATAACAGCATAATAAAGAGGACAGCAGCGCAGTTCAGTCAGAGAGCATTTGGGTAGAGATTTAAGTACAGACATGTGAGGAAGGATACCATTTAGTAAAGGGATGTTGCATCACTAAAGGTAAGTTCCCACTGCTCTGAGGGCCGTTTGTCAAAGCAGGTTTAGAGAGCGACAGCCAACTAACTGTGACAACAATGTTCTGTCTAATAAAGATTGGAATCTAAACAATAAATCTTCAATATCTAGCTCAGAAATATGATTTACTGAATTATAGCTACAACAAAACAGCTTCCGATGACAGTTCATTAACACTTTGAAGTTAGCAAAGCTGCTAATCCTGCTTTATCAAACAGCTCTGATACAGAGGTCTAAGTAAACATACATTCCCTAAAAAGTGGGTGAGGAGAGAAAGCAAAGCACTGAAAAATAACCATTGCGGCTGTTTAAAAGGTCACCATTATTTTTTTAAGTGTGCTGGTGGATTACACTTCACAATATGTTCTTCTAATTCAAGGTCATGTCATACAAACTGCTAACAAATGCTACCTATACAGTGTAGCTCAACATTTACAGCCTGTTTTCACTGTGAGCACCATTATTACAATGGTGGTAAAGAAGAAAACATCAAAATATTGATGTGTGTATGGAATATTATGCCCTTATGATACAAGGCATTACTTGACATGGTAACATCACATCTACACTTTCTCAGCATCCCAAGTGTACTGTATGATCCCAACACTTCCATTTGCGTAACTCGCCATCATCACCACAAAAAAAGAAAAACTAGCTACACATCCTTTCGTGAATAAAACTGCATTATCTTTATATAGATAAAAAGTTAACAATCCCCAGATTGAATTATTTCATAAAGGTCCACCCTGTGAATGCACCACTAAAGAATTAACATTGATGCAGAGGACCAAAGGTTATTACACTCTCTTAACTTGTTCATCATGAAAACCTTCTCCAGTGAGGACCAGCGGCCTTCAGTACCTCTATTAAAATGCCCACAGCTTGTTTGTCAGGGGCTATAAGAAAGCCCAGAGCTGGTATTCAAAGGTTCATAGTGATCTAATGTTTTCAGACAGCACTAGGTGAAACGTGATGTGTGATTCAGTTGTTAGCAGCGTCCGCCTGCCGAGGCCAGCTCTCCTCCTCAATGCCCGAGTCGTATTCCTCTTCTGTCGACTCCTTGGCTGGAGCTCTGAGATTCAAATCGAAACTTCAGTTCAGGTTTCGAACGACACAGCTATGGAGACTCAGTGTGCTTAAAGCTGAAGGAATCTGATCTCTAACATGAGTGGGATACTGACCTGATATATCTGGGTTGTGATTTCCCTTGGACAACATCTTTGTCCAGCTCAACTGCCATGATGTCAGAGTGTGGCACTTCAAACATGGGCTCAAGAAGAAGCTTTTCCCATATATTTAAAAAACAAACAAACAAACAAACAAACTTTACATCAATAATACAAGAAATTAAGTCAGAAACAACAAGTTCAATATCCTTAGTAAATGACATACCATGATGGATCTGAGCCCACGAGCTCCAGTTTTTCTCTCCAGAGCCAATCTGGCTATGGCCCTCAGGGCATCTGGAGTCATACTGAGTTCACACTGAAACAAAGATGCATAGCAAATTCATTTCAAATCTAAAACTCTAGTAAATTGGGGTCTGAACAAACAAACCCCTGTATATAATTTCCTTGCCAAGAAATTATTTTCCTGTAGCTTTAATTAAAAAAAAAAAAAAGCAGCTGTTGTTGTTTCAAGTAGCAGTGGGACACTAAACTGTTGACAGGAGGTACAGCTTGAGTAGTAAATCCACAAGTTGCAGAGCAAACAACGGCCCTCATTACAAAGGTGATAGCAAAGGACATGCTACCCATTATCTTCGTCGAGGGAGAGTTTAAGTTTAAAGACATTTGTTCACAGGATTCACTGACGCAGCACTTTGCCAAATGATATGTCACAGAAAAAATTCTGACTCTCAATGAGTGACTCTCTGGTCTATAACTGTATGGTAGCAATCGCGGGATCAGAGCCCTTACTTTATCCATGCTGAACAGAGCCTGGTACTGGGGCACCACAGCGTTGCGTGGCTCAGTCAAGATTCGGACTAGCGTTTCTTCATCCAGGCTGTGCAGAGGAACGACCACAGGAAGACGGCCGACAAACTCTGGGATCATTCCAAACTCGATCAGGTCCCTGGCCTCCACGTGCTTCAGCAGCCTGTCCTTCTCCTCGATCTCAGCCACTGTGTCCGTCTCACCGCTGGTGTTGGCCAAGTCTGCTGCAGCTGCCGCACGGCGCCCTTTCCCCAAGTTGGAGGGAGTTCCAAAACCCAAATACTGAAGAGTCACGAAACATAAGGATCCAGTTAGAGGCAGGAATATTGGTTGAACATCTGCATAAATTTAAGCTATGTTAAACTTACCTTTTCATTCTTTCTTCTACTAATGATTCTATCAAGTCCATTGAAGGCACCAGATGCAACAAACAAGATGTTTGTTGTATCTACCTGCACCGTCTCTCCCCTCAGTTTCCTAGAGTTTTTCTCAGGCACATTGACAATTGTGCCCTCCAAGAGTTTCAGTAAACCCTGAAAGAGTGGAAAAGGGAAAAAAAAGTCAATAATACAAGTCTGGACCAACACATACACAAAAAAAAAGGAAAAACAGGAAGCCAGTTACAATAAACATAAAATCTGCTGCTTACTTTAAATTCAAATCTCACACAGCATATTTCTGTTAAGTTGTTTTGCATTTTGTTATTAAAGCGTCATTAAAATGTCACTGTTTGATGTCTGCACTAACTGTTACATAAAGGTTTTACTGAGTGTGAAGCTGGTTGGATACTGACCTGCTGGACTCCTTCTCCACCCACATCTCTCAGCTGATGGATTCCAGGCACACTACCAATCTTATCAACCTCATCCAGAAACACAATACCTGCATGGGAAAGAGGACGGGGAGACAGTGGTGCAAGTTTGACTCATTAACATTAACTGAGAGCCTGCGTTTCTGCACGTACATTTGTGGTGGTAATTTTAGATTTCAGCTTAACCCACTACACACGATTCAAGTTGAAGACTTGCAAATATGCAGAACACAGTTTGTTATAATTAGAAAAATTTGCACAGTTGGCATTTATAAATTACTTCCTGCTAACATATTCAACCAGGGTGGAAATTCAAACTGTGTAGCTGACTGATTCAATAACAGACATGAATGTAAGCACCATCTAATTCCTACAAGGATAAGCATCACTGAGTGGTTTTGGACACTTTTTCTGACACTTTTCTGGAGCTTGGAGCTCAGTAATTACTTTTCCTTTTCTTTTGAGAGCAGTGATGCCAAACGATTATATTGACATGACAAGACGCCCGTTTCAGTGACATAACAGGGAGGTGGTGGTGAATGGCTTGTGATCATCTTTGATTTTATTCTTCGTTTCGTTTCTATATTTAAAATGTAAACCTCCTGTCAGCTGCATTACAGTCAGTACCAAATGTTTTCAGACCCTTTCGAGTTTTCCACATTTTATGGATTCAGATCATTTTCCCCTCTCAATCTACACACAGTACTCCACAATGATGAAGTGAAAACAGGTTTTTAGAGTGTTTTGTAAACTTATTAAAAATAAAAGACTGAAATATCCCATTTACATATGTATTCAGACCCTTCACTTAGTACTTGGTCAAAGTACCTTTGGCAGCGACGACAGCATCAAGTCTTCTTAAGAATGAAGCTGCAAGCTTGGTACCTGTTGTACATAGCAGCTGGGAGGCCTCACTGTCGCTCATGTTCACAATAACGTTGATGCAATTGTGACACAAACTCTACATTTATGCTTTCTACTTACAAGTGCCTTGCTTTTGTTGTCTGTCAGATCCATCTCATTATTACTTTTAATGCTACAAAGCAACTCTTTCTGAATGTTAGCGTCAGAAAATATGATAAATGACAAAACCAAGGTGTGACACAAAATGTGCCGTTTTCTACAATGACATTTGTCACTTTCGGTTTTTCCCATCTAGGGGTCGCCACAGCGAATCGTCACACTGACGACTTGCATGTTGACATTTGGCACGTGTTTTACACCGGATGCCCTTCCTGACACAACCCTGATTGGAACCCAGGGCGCAGCGGCAAGAGCGCTGCGACTTAACCACTAACCTACCAGGGACGGCTGTACACTGACATTTGTGTTAAACATAAAACATATAGTATGATTTAAACACGGAACGTTACATTATTGTTACATTTTGTCCTCCTGCCCACCTTGCTGTGCTTTCTCCACTGAGTAGTTGGCATCTTGGAGCAGTTTGGCAATAACGGACTCGATGTCTTCTCCCACATACCCAGCTTGAGTTAATGTGGTGCAATCGCAAATTGCAAAGGGAACATCCAGACAACGAGCCAGTGTCTGTGCCAACAGTGTTTTTCCTGTGAAATATTAAAAGGAATCCTAAAGTTTCTTTTGCCAAAACAGATTCAAATCAGTGTAAATCTTAATGATCTGGTTAAGGGTTGCTGTGCAATATACAATTTAGGACAATGTTGACACCACACCAACCTGAGCCAGTTGGACCTAGAAGTACGATGTTGCTCTTCTCCAGTTTAATGTCACTGTGTGTGGAGTCCAGGACCTCGCCGCCCCTCCTCTCCTGAGGCACCTGCTGACTCACCTGCTGCTGCATGGACGCTCCCAGAGCGTTTCCATGAGGACTGATCCCTGCGATCTGCAGCAGCTCTGCAACACCAAACAAAGTCACAGGGACTCAGAAGTAAGAACCACTCCAGGAAGTATATATTCATAAAGCACCAACCACCATGCTACTGAATGTTTTCATTTGAACCAGTGTTGTACAATCTGTATGTAGTAGTTTATAGTTTCCATGTATAGGCTAAAACATAGGCAGTGCAGGTGTGGCATTACTAGGTGGGGAGAGCTGGACTGAAACTGGCAGTAGTACAGATGTGAATGTAGGTCACTGGGCTACATCATTTTATTGTCTAATCAGTTATAGATTAACAAGCTAATTTTACTGCTGCAATTTCTGTGGCTCATCTCCAAACATAGCAAATAGGAAATTAAACACACAACCACTCATCGCTCCAGAAGTGGAGGTGGAGGTGCAGTTCCTCAAATAATAAATACTTTTAACACATTAATCATTTTATATAAATTCTTCAGGTTGAGCGTGACTATGAACACGTTACTAGAAAGGGCAGAACAAAGCAATAACTGAGGAGTCACAGAGGTCTGTACATTTTGGCATTTGTACAACTCGTGAAAACAAAGAAAAATGCTGTTCAAGTGTCCTTTTATAGTCACACTGACAAAGATGACAGTAACAGTGGGGACCAATCACTTACTTGTGAATCTGTATTCATCCTCTCGTCTTCTCATCTCTAGCTCTACAGGGAGAGGATCACAGTACTCAAATCAATGTGCTCATTAATCATTATGACATCAATGCAATCTTGTATAAATGCTTCCAGAATTGTGTGCGACAGTTATTGAACAAATGCCAAATAATACAGATTACGATTCAAGGCATGTTATAACTGAAGGCCACAGCTGCAACCTCATCTCAGCTTTTTGTCAAGTTTTAACTATTAACACTGTCAACCTCTTAATCTGTACCAGTAAGTACATGTTTTTCAGAAATTACATGTCCCCAGATCATTATTGTCAGGTGGTTTCTCTCAAATGTTTATCATAAACTCAAAACAGCCTTGTGCTTAGGGACAGCGCTGGAATGTTTTTACTTTTTCATCAGGGTTATACTAACACCACCACACAGTGGGAGTCAATTCTTTCATTTTAAACAAATTACAGGCCCTGTTGCAATGCCATGTCTCCTTTCTCCCCACATGTCCTGCTTGTCTCTGCCATCAGTTACTGAATAAAAGCAGCTCAGGACTTTATCTTATGTGCCCTTGAGCTTGAAAAACCAAACATTTGATAGTTTGAGTATCTTATGCACTCCAGCATTTTCCACATAACACCACAATGCATCTCTTTTACAAGTGGAGAAGCAACAGTGAATTGATTAATGTAAGTGATCAGTGGAAATCAATACATACTTATATATATCATATACATATATTAATCAGATTTCATCTGAACTCACAATTGAGATTAGAACCCATGTTAATAAGAAGCAGAACAAAGCAACAGTAATACTGACCACGAGGTGTTAGAGAGGGCTGTTTCTCCACTTCAACTTGCTGTCGGCTCCCAGCGGGGATGTTGTTGTAGATGCGCTTGTAGTGATTATATACTGCAACTGCTAACACCTTTTTTGCATAGGTCTGGCCGACAACGTACTTGTCAAGATAAGCATATATCTGGGGGAAAAAAAAAAAAGTATAACATATATACAAGTATAACAGCATGACTATTGCAACAGAATGTGTAACATGCCAATAAAAATCATTTAAAAGCATATTTGAACAACAATTCTAGTTTAATTTCTCACCTTCTTGGGGGGAGGGGGAGGTTTCTGTGCAAATGCCAGTTTAACTGCCTCCGCAGCAGATTCCGGCTCTTTGTTTAGCCCCTTGTTAGAGTCCGTTTCAGACAGAACCACAAAAAAGTGATGGCATTTCTCACATTTGACAAATCGTGTTGATGCTACAAAAGAAAAACACATTCAGCGCTGAGACATTTCACAGCCTGGCTGAGAGAAACATCTGAGATACTTAGAGCTAAACAAATTTTCACGGTTTCACATTAAACACCTGATACTCTTAGCAATAATAACTCTACATAATGAAATGCCAAGTTAGGTTTTATTTCAAAATTATGCTTAAAGTGCAATCATGAATTGCATTTATTTTCAAAGATTAGTTGTACAATGTAATACGTTTGTATTTAGAGTAAAGACTTTGCTCAAAACTGTTATGCAGTAGCAAAAATCTAAAGCGTATACATCTACATGTGCTGCCTAGCACTGTCTCTGCCATGATGCATTTGCTTTCAGAAGATCTAAATGAACTGCTCTTTTTACAATGTGCATCTATGTTTACATTTTGTTGCTTTAGTGAATGGCATATGATCTAGCATTTCTGCATTATCACTGCTAGTGGTTACCATTGCATGATGACAGATTGCTGCTTTTAGATATGACGAAGTAGAAAAAAGAAAACAGAGATCACCTCTGCATGAGCTGAATAGAAAAAGAAAAGCAGCGAGACACACTGGGTCATAGTTTCACTGCTGATCAATGTGTCCGTTTTCTGTATCTGACAGACTTAAAAATTTACTTTTTACATTTAAGCATTAAAACAACTTCTGTTTTGTGAGAACATGACTGAAATTACTATAAATAGCACATGAATGGCACCCCACAAACCACCTCTAAATCTGGAAAGTTTATTCCAGACAATAAAAAGCGATAATATGCAAAAATACACCTGAATAGTTATATGTGCAGTAAATAGTAAGAAATGTAAGAGGCGGGACATAGTAATTTCTCAGCACATAGTCAGCATGAATGGTGACAGATGCACACCGACTACATATGCATCATCTAAAAATCCAAGCAATGAACTGAGTGCTTCTCTGTCATTCCAACAACTCCAACAGAGTGAGCCATCTTCACATAACTTTCATTAGCTTCTTGTTTTGATTTTTAACCCAAAGTACTGCCAGATAGGCAAAGAGGTACTTTTAGCTGCAGCACAATGTCAAACCATTACCCCCTGTACTGTATTAATAGCTATTTCAGTCACACCCATTCATGTATTCATGCTCCTGTGTTTTCATATTCTGGACATAAACTCTCTTGTGACCTGTCATCTTCGTTTTATTTTATGTTTGGTGAAAAATTATTAGCACCAACTCCTTACCTCATGTACCTATGGCTACTGCCTATGCTGTCTCTAGTGTGTGTCACATGCAAATTTAACAAAACATCTGTTACCTAAATATCATATTCCTTTACCCCTAATCCTCCTGATTTTCCACCTAAAATGCACATCAGCTCACTGGTCTTGTTATATGATTGTCCAAATTTTATGCATTTACTCACATACAAAGGTCTCCACATGTGTGCAAGGATCTCCACATTTAGGGCAGCGGAGCTGACCTCCACCCTTGCCTGTTCCTCCAGAGCCAGAGAGCCTCTTCCCCTCGCTGATGCTTTTCTGTGTAAACATGACTGTGTCAGCACATATTAAATTATTACCATCTACAGTGGAAGGACACAAATAAGATTTATCCTGCCAGAAAATTACCTTTCCACCATCACCTCCGGAGTCCTTTGTTATTCCATCTTTAGAGGCATAGCAGACAGCAGTCTCTGAAAAGGACCTGACCCGTACCCAGGGAAGTAAATGAGTTTCACGAGACCCCTGACGACTCAGAGAAAATAACTGAATCCGGGAGCAGGACAATCCTGAAACAAAAGCAACATCACTTTTGATTCCTAACAACATTGTGGTTTGTAACAACGTGACACAAAACATTTTAACTTGTCTTATTTGACACAAAGATAAAACAAGCAGCAGAAAATTAACCTGCAAGTAACTTACATTTACTAATAATGAAAACTGTTAGCTACTAGTCCTACATGTATTACTAGAAAAGGTGTCCTTAATTATACCACATACAAATATATATATATAAAACTAACACATCAGAGGACCATAACAATGGCCGGGATCAGCTATACACAATGCATATTATCAAACGTTCACAGAATTTATATGTGCTGTGGCTATTGCACGTTTTGTATTGTTATTTTTCATCATTAAGGTACTAAGTAACAAACATGAAGGTTTCTGGTAGGCTTGTCAATTACCAAGTTAGCTTAGCTATAGCTACATAACGCTGGTTTGTGTTTATCTTTATGGGTTACTGCTCAAAGTCACTGGTGTATAGCTCCACGATAGGCTGTGTGATCTAACAGTACAGCTACTAAACTCTTGTACTATCTTTTCCACCTGCTGTTGGTATTTCAAGACTGCAATAACAAGCAGCATCTGTGTTAACTGGAGACCTACGTAGCAAACTATAACGCTACGTTAGCAAACAGCAAAATGTCAAGCAAATTTAGCCTGCTGGCAGGCTGTCTACGACTCCTCTCTTACCTCTGTGGGCAGTATTTAGAAACAACCTGGCAGCCGATGTGCATGGGCAGGACATAACTCTTTGTTTGACTCAAAATCCTGAAAGTAAACATAAAAGTTAACGCGGTTTATTGAAATGAGAGGAAATTGCAAAATTGGCTTATGATTGACAGGAGAGATCGGTTCGCTTCTTCAGCGTCACTGTTAGCATTAGCGAAGCAGGTCATGAACTAGTGAAGGTGGCTGTCAGTGCTGCTTAGTACTATTATAAATCCATCTTTTTTATATCAGCTGACATGTATTGATTAATTGGCTGGAATTATTACGCCTTTACGGCCCAACGCTAACATCAAATGGCAAAATAAACAATCTAACTAGCTATCAAACGGTAAGGACAAATAGGCTAGCATTAACTGTTAGCTACATAGGCTAGGCCCAAGCCAAAATCACTTGGAGTTTCCGCCAGTGCTAATCACAGAGAAGACAGCCTTGGCTAGACACATTTGTTTAAGCTAGCTGGGTGGCTTTATGGACACAGAAATGGCTAGCAGTCAGGCCCGATATCTAATGTGAATAGCCAAAAACCTGCTTAATTCTAATTCGTAGGCTCCGTAGGGTTGACGCTATCAAATGGCGAGGTAACATGTAATGCCAACTAACTTATCGAAATTACTCACAGGGTACGATGAATCCAGAGACGTCTTGATAACCCCTTCGAAAAAAACGGCTAAGTCAGTGCAGTCTTAGTTGCATATGGGAGGGTATCATAGTAATATAATAGCGCCTACTGCATGGGCTGGGAAGCGCTGACTTGTTTAGGCCGCTATTTCCCAGGTAGGACACGATCCAAAATTATGTCACGCTGTTATTCTGCTAGCTAGCTAGCTAACCTATCATCTGGTTACAGTGGTTAACATAAGTGACTTAATCAGTGTACACCGTTAAAGTAATATGGAGGTTTCGTTTATGTCTAGGCAGTTCAAACCCACCCAGATGGTTGGAGATCTGCTAATCCGTAGGGGGCGCTAATGCTGCGTTCAGGGATATCGTTTAAATGGTAATCACAAACAACAGCGTGGGTCAGGGATATCTGAAATTTTTGATATTGGCGCTATACTATTGGTGTTTGTCAGTCACGTGTTTTGTGTTTTTAAAATACGAATATTACACTTTGCTTTTTGGCCACACTTTCACGTGGCAACAAACTGCTACATAAACATAACACAACAACAACAAAAGCAAAGTTAGGCTGTTTATCTGGTGTTTTTCTTGCTCTTCCCATTCTGCCGACAACGTGTGAATGCAGCACTACAGGTATGGCTGATACGTTCAAATGGTCCTCGTACATGTATGGTGAAACTGGGTTGCATTTGAGTGATTCTCGTAAATGTGCAATGCCTGTCTGAACCGAACAACTTTGAAGTGGCAAAACTAACAATAGACCTACTGTGACATGACTCATAAGACATATTTATGTTCTGAGTTGCTCCTGGTATAACATACTTGGGTTTCTCTTTAAACTGACTGCCTTTAACCTTCAAACCATAGACATCCATTCTAAAATTCTGGATAAATTTCAGTGCACCTCATCTTTCTGATCCCTGCAACTCACTGGTTTTGTGCAGGACCATGGCCACTCAAGTTAGACAAGCCCCACAGCATTCAGAAAATAAGCATGAAGCTGTCTAATTTGATTGTGCAGTCAGAATGGCAACGCTGTGCAGGTGAACCTTGTCCATTAAACACTCTGTAGATTTCCCCAGCCATATCCCTAGTGTCACTTGTGTAATTTTTATGTGTGTATTTTACTGTATTAGCTGACTTTGGGCTTTATCTTGATGAGAATACATCTTTAAGAAGTGCATAAGAGGTGAACTGACCCACTTTTGTCATGGCTGGATTAACTGGGGTTAAAGTTGGCTTTGGGCCTCCAACTGACAACCACTATACTGTACGTCCTGGCTCCCCTGTTGCCTCAGAATTCCTTTAAGACATGTCCTGAAGGTAAGCTGATGACACAGTTGATACTGTACTTCAAATTCTTTCACAAATAAAAACAGTTCACAGACAGTGGACTCAGGAATTTGGGGGCCCGGCACTCCAACACTGCTTTGCCTAGCTGATAGCTTTGGCTTTTCTGCAGGCTGTAGCATTGTGCCTACAGCGCATCTAAAATATCACACAATACATTTGGAAAAATATCATCTATATATATTATTATTTTGACCATGAGAAATCCAATTGAATAATAAATAATGTCACAAATTTGGGTGAATCATATAAGTTGAATATTTTTATCAAAATCATGTCACTAGTTCATGAAATTCATTAAACTGAGATTTCAAAAATGCTTTTATTGCTCATTTTACAAAGGTTTGGATAATTTTTAGATGAATTTGAGCTTAACTCTGCAGGTTTTCACACTGCTGTTGTCCCACATATACAAAAACGTCTTGTTGGGATAGTATGACAGCATAGCCAATATGCCACTAGCTGGCCTTAAATCAAAACTTGCATAAAAAGGACTCGCTTTCTTTAAATCAAAGGCATATGTCACTCTTCTGTCATTGTCATCTGTAAAGTAAAGCACTCCACATACAATGAAAGCATTTCCTGCTTTAGTTGTGGGGTAAGCAGTGTTAATGATGAACTCCACAGTGAATGTGTCAGGGTTGAGCTTTGCAACCATCGTACTATCATCTGTGTCTGACGCAAAAATGACCCACAATCCATTTTCATCCACAGCAAACTTGAAATATGTCTTTGAGTTTTGGAAAAGATAAGCCAGGCCGTGATATCTGCTGTTTGCCATGATCAGAGTGCTTGTTCTCCTGGTGTTCAGGTCAAATCTGTAAAACAGTGATAATGAGTATGCTTAAAAATCTGAGTACAAATGAGCCTTTACACAACACAAAACAAACATTTCAGTTAATAATAATAATAATAATAATAATAATAAATTAGTAAGAAGAACAAACACCTATACATGTTCAACACAAAGGCTTACTTTATGAGCCTGTTGGTTCCTCCATTGTGGAAGTAAAATGACCTCTTGTAAACAACATGACCACACCCCTGGTAGAACCTCCCAACATCTATGGTTTTGCCGTTTGATCTGTGAAACTCAGAAATGTTCCTATACTCCACCAAAACTCGACCTGGGGAAGAAATGTTCACACCTTATGTTAAATCCACAATAGTTCACAAAACTCTGTGATGGACGGCATACTTATGATTGCTGTATAAATCACCTGAAAAATGGTCGGCCAGCCAGTACGGACCGTCACCCAGCTGTGATACATCTGACATCCAGGCTCCAAAGGTGCTTTGCATTTTAGTGGCTTTCTCTGAGCATTTTATAGTTTTAATATCGCACTCTAAAGGAATAAAAATACAATTTCAGTATTTGATTAAAAGTATGTACATATACAGATAGGTGATGAGTAAATAGAGAACATACTGTACATAATTTGAAACCTAATTTTAAAAAAATGTGCTGACCAGTCTTTGCCCATCTCTCTGTGGTTATCACATTGATCTTCTTGTTCTGCAGAGGAGAGGAAGAGTCTAAAGAAAAAAGAAAGAAGAAAAATGCTAACAGTATTTAGTGTTCACATTTCAATTTTAAAAAATAATGGATGTGTACTCTGTAGTTTCACTAAACCTTGGGCTAAGTTACATTTTTGAATCAGAAAAAATGATGGATGGAGGTTTGATAGACACAAGAACCAAATATGCAACACAGTTTCATACCAGTATTCATGGCTGTATCAGTGAGGTTTCCACTGTTATTGGTGGTGTCCGTCTTTTGAGGCAGGTCGACAGAAAATGAAGCTGTAAAGTTAAACATATACTGTAGACGGATACTGTACATGTATGCACTAATGGTGGTACAGTGTATTATCAAAGACAAAAGCAAATGATTTTAGGTCAGTGCTACTTTTACATATAATTCAAAACAGTGTTTTCTACCTTTTAATAATGCTGTTGGTGCCTCTGTAGCATTCTCTGTGTTGGTGTCTTTCAAGGTACTGTGGCTATTGTCTTGGTGAGATGACACTGACTCTGTAAGATAAAATATTGGATTTAACATGCTTTTTTCTCCCATAAAAACACAATGCATGTAATGTCTTCCAGCTCAAAATGGTTGTTTACCAAGTTCCATGTTTGTGCCTAGGGGTTTCTCATGGTCAGCAACAGTAAAAGCATCTCTGTTACTGTCAGTTGGATGTGGTGTTGGAGATTCTGCAGAAAGATGAGATTCAAATAGAAGAAATGGTACAGACATTAAATATTAGTGCCAATAACACCCAGATAACTCACTGCTGTACTTTGAAGGTTAAGTTCATCAAGTTTACTCACCAGTTGTTGTCCAGCTCTCTCTGCCAGTTAAATTTAACTTGCTGCTGTTCTGAGGTGAATATGAAGAGTCTAAAGAAATGATTCGAAAAAGACTAATCATATTTCCTGTGCAAGGTAAATATAAGTCATACTGCTACTACTACAAATTTCTTTGACCCTGTGAATAAATCATATCTTTCAGGGAAGAGCAAAACTGCTGAAAGTAAATCTGTGAATTTGTCAATACCAATACCAAATACAATACACAGGACAACTTTGTACCACTTCTTGTGGGTTTGTCAACAGTGGTTCCACTGCCATTGAAAGCGTTTCTGTTCTGGTCCTCAGAAAGTGGGGCTGTAGAATGAAAGGAAACATTATATGTAATGTTGTAGTGTTATGGTCACTCACTTAACCATAATTCTCAAACAGTATTTACCTCTTAATACTTTTATTGGTGTCTCTGTAATATTCTCTGTGTAGGAGTCATTCAAGGAGTCGTGGTTGTAGTCTGCATGAAATAATACCGACTCTAGAAAATAAAGGGTATTTAGTTTAACGTGTTTTCTCATATAATTACAATACAGTTTATATTTGATGCATCCTTGATTCAGCAGAACACTACAGCAGCTGTTTTGAAGGCGTTTGAACCAGTGAAGGGAACTAATCAGTGAAGCCACCAAAGGTTGTGGCTGGCAGAGTGAAACGCTGCAAAACACTCGGCCTCACCTGCACATTTCTGACAACCACTCAAAGCCATTTTTTCTAAAATGACTTTTGTACAGATGTTGACTTTGGATTACGGGACATGAAAATGACTGCATTACATTACAAACTGTATGAAACTCTACTTTGCATATTTGAAGTGAGATTCCAGAAATAAGCACAATTTAATTTACTTTGCACATAAATTAAGTAAAGATTAGTCATGTTTGTGGAATGAAATATGTTGCAAGAAACGTTTTGTCTGTTTGATGATACACAGATGGAAATAAGCTGTTAGGAAGATCTGGTGCAATGCATCTTCTCATTTTGTATATCGTACCTGATAAATCAATAAATAAATGATGTGTGGTTGGCCAGATATCTTAATTTGTCATTTGTGATTTTATACTAAGAATTAATAACCATGCCAAAACCTTACTCATAGCAAACACGATTCAAAATCCTATGAGTTACATTCCTTTCTAATATTAAGAAATGGTATGAGATTTAAAAGGGTCCTGAAGAGATCTATCTCACCAGTTGCTGCTTACCAAATTCCATATATGTGCCTGGATGTTTCTCAGAGTCCGTAACATTCAAGACATCCTTGGCATTAAGAGCTGGAGTTGTAGTTGATAACACTGTGGAAAGAAATGCACAATTCAGTTAGAAGAGTACATTATGAACGTAAGGTCAAACAGATGTTAACATACATTTCATGAATGTGTAACAGTAACGTTTACTTGTTAAAAAAGTTACCTAGTGCCTTTGTAACGCTGTCTGTGTTGGTATCAGTCCAGGTATCGTGTCTGTAGTCTGGAGGAGGCGATGCTAACTCTGTAGAAAATATAGCAAAATTGGAATAGTCATACATTTTGTATATCAGACCAGAGTGTTTGTGGCCATACAGTACACCCTCATCCCCAGCCACTATTGGGGTATGTTAAAGCTGGGATTTAACAGTGTAGTCAAATAAAAGTGCAACTACATAAAATAAAACCAGTAAAATATTCCTGCCATTAAAAGTGGACTGAAAATGCTTCTGAGAACTGATACTAATTACAGGACTTACAGTATGGCAGGTCTTTCTTACCACTTTTCATGGTAGAATCAGTGAAACGTTCAGTGCCATTGAAGGCAGTGCTGTTGCGATCCAGGTCTACAGAAAGTGTGACTGTACAATGAAATGAGACAGTATATTACAAACACTAATGTTATTATTGTGCAGCACCTTTATTTAGGATATATCAGACAAATGTGCAATAGTTCACTATGTTTACATTTACTTACAGTATTTCCCACCTGTTGATAATTGTACTGGTACCTCTGTGACATTTTCTGTGTCTGTATCATTCCAGGTGTCATGGCTGTAGTCTGGATGAAGTGATACCGACTCTAGAAAATAAAATAGTAGTGTTTAACATATGTTTACATATTGTCAAGGATTTGTTTGTTGCTGCTCAGAATGGTTGTTTACCAAAGTTCAGTTCTGTGTCTGGACTTTTTGCAGAATCAGTAACATTCGACACATCAGCTGAATGTGGTGTTGGTGATTCTGCAGACATAAAGCTAAGATTCAAATAGAAGAAGTGCAGAAATTCTGACACAAGAGGCCAATAATCAAAATTATTGACTCATGTAATTGTAATTTACTAAATGTAAAGACTCAGTGATTTCCTACCAGTCTTGTTATTTGTCGAGCTGCTAATGTTTTCTGTGTCTGTTTCATTCAAGGCTTCTCTGGTCAGGAAAGGAGGAGATGAATCTAAATATGTAGAGTAAGAATAGAAATGGAGGGGTTAGTGTTGTGATGGTTTATACTTTAAAACTTCTGCTACCAATCAAAATAAAAGGCTAGTTTCAGTACTTTTATTATATTTGACTTTTAGGCCAAAAGATAAACATAGGATTCCTTGTTTCCCCACCAGAATTGTGGCAGCATGGAGATGTTTTTTTTTTTAAATTAGGTCCCTGTGTCATTTCTGCGTAGCTGTTAGTGTAGGCGAATCTGTACAGATGTTCTTACCCATCGACATGTTGGTTTCATGAGTGTGTTCTCTGATGGTCTTGTTTCTCACTTCATCGAAGTAACAGGCAGGACAGGCTGGACCAGGTGGGCCTGGTGGACCAGGTGGACCCCTTGGACCTGGAGGACCTTCAATTATACAAATAGCTACAAGTTACCTATGAAAAAGTGACCTATTATAAAATACATCTGATCAAATACAGACACTTAATAACAATAAAATAAAAACATGAAAACACGAAGGTTACTATGTGAAGGTTTATAATAATGAGCAATGTAACCAACATTTCACCGAAATAATAGGTGAATTGTTCACAAAAGTTGAGGTACAGTTTGTTAAATTTGAAGAAAGCTTTTCAGATCGAGTCTTGGGGAAACACTGGATGCAGTCAAATAGACTTTATGAGATGTCATCTTTCCTCTCTTGTAAAGACATTGCATCAGGTTGAGGTACCGGATCATCTCTCACCCTCAATGAGAATGTCATAGGTTTCGCCTTTCAGTAGAAGAGGCCCAGGATCTCCTTTAGGTCCTGGGTCTCCTTTTTCACCAGGGGGTCCTACAGTATAAATTAACAGGTGCATATCATTAGTTCAAACTAGTGGTGAGTTAAAATGGGAAAGAATAAAAACAGGGTAATCATGTGTTAATTATAGCACTGTGAACCTGTCGGCAAACGCTCAAATCAAAATGTCCCAGAGTTTGAGTGAAAGATCAACACTTCAACCACAAAGTGACTTTCTTGTTCAAAACAACAAAATGCAGCATAATTAAGGTGCCACCAGTCCAGTAAACATTCTCTGTCAGCTATAAACAGTGTGTCTCTTCTAGACAGTCAGTGGGATGCTGTTATATAACCATGGTTTCACAATGGAAGACTGTTTCAAACCTGTGACTGGCTGGTTTCTGATTCACACTTCTACACAAGGTTTAGGAATGGATGATCAGACTTGTAAGACAATGGATCTCTCACCTTTTTTTCCTCGTCTCCCCTGTGGCCCCGACACACCCTGTGGTCCTGGTGAACCAGCTCTACCAGGCAAACCTAGTGGGCAAATATACTTTGTTATTCCGAACATAAGCATAATGTAATTAATTTGGTCGGGTAAATAATGTGTTTTTACCTGGAGGTCCAGGTGGACCTGTAGAAAGAGCAAAAAAAAAATATATATATATATATATATGTGTGATGCAAGATGAATACATTAGAAACATTAAAAACTGAAGTGCTGAGTAGTTCAGGTGCACCTGTTAAACAAACTCCTCCAGAGGTATTATGCAAAATGAATACATTAGAAACATTAAAAACTGAAGTGCTGAGTAGTTCAGGTGCACCTGTTAAACAAACTCCTCCAGAGGTATTACACATTTCTATGAAGGTTTTGAGCTGAAATAACAAAGACAAAAAGACACATGTGAATTGCAAGTGCATGTGGACAAACCGCATGTGTGTCCAACTCAGAGGAAACTTTCTAAAGCTACACATTTTGGTCTTTTAATCACTTGAGAAAAAAAACCAGACACAGAAAAGATTTGCATTCCATTGTAGTTATAACTTTTTCCCATTATGAGAGCTGAAATCATTAGTTGAACAACAGAAATATTGTCAGTAATTATTACTAATTACAAAGTAAAATGACTGGCTAAAGTCTATATACACCAGGAAAATTAAAAACTATTTTAATATTGATTTTACTTGGTAAAAGTCTCAGTGATAAAAGTGGCTTTGCTGTCATAATATAGCACCCTGTGAGGACAAGTCATTTCCCAGAGGATGAGCACAGTCAAGGGAGGAGCAAACAACATGCCCACTCCACTACTTCAAGGTATTTATCCGGGAAACGCCCGATGGAAAAAGAAATTCTTAATCGCTGTAACAGCCTCTGGATTCTTTGCATTACATGAAAGTGCTTCTCATTCCAAAAGGGCAACGAGAGGAAATGCTTCCATTAAAAATGTCAACAACATTCCTTCAGTTTTCCTTCATAATAAAAACAAATCTGAACTTCATTCATTGTTTCTCATATTTGACAATAAAATTCATTCATTGTTTCTCTAAAAACAAATCTGAACTTCATTCATTGTTTCTCATATTTGACAATAAAAACAAATCTGAACTTCATTCATTGTTTCCCATATTTGACAGTACAGTGAACAACCTGTAATCTTCACAAACATTTTGGTGTCTTACAGGAACCATGGAGTATGTCATCATCATCAGCATGTCCTCCTTGTCATGGCTTTGTGTCGGTGCTCCGTCCTGGTGCCTTCTGCTGCGGTGGAGCTTCTTCAGGTCTCCAGTGTCTACAGGGTCGGGAGGCAGGATTGTTGAGTGCAGCCTGCAGTTCTGTGACAGCTCCTGCATCTGGGTATCCAACCTGACCAGCTCCTCCATCAGCTCTTTCTGTTGAACCAGCAGAAACACTAGACCTGCAGAGCTCAGGAACAGCAGCACACAGATCCCCACCAGGAGCACTTTCCATGCCAAAAAAACTCCACTACTCTCCTTCATATCTGTGCTTGTTTCCTGGTCCTCTGCTGCAGAACGCTCTGGACTTATAAATTCACACGCACATACACCACATATCTGAATACCTGCCAGCACATGAAACGTCAGAGGGAAACTACACTGGAGCTGTGGAAGAGGAATCAACATGTCATAATCTGTCTGTAACTACTGAGAAACCACATGATGCATTGCGCAACAAGCAGCTGGGAAACAGTTAAGAATGAAATCTGTTGGCTTTCTTGATTTATAAGTGGCTGGCGGACATATTTCCAGAATGACACGTCCTGCAGAGAAAGTACTGCTTCTCATCATTCTCGTACTCTTCCCTTCAGTATGTTCACCAGCCCGTCCTACACATAATTACATAGAAGTGGAATAAATAACTTGTGAACAAAGGGAACATTCTTCAGATCTACAAAAGAGCTTTCAGAACACTTTCAGAAAAAGACTCAAGAGTGTGGATGCGTGTGTGTGTGTTCCAAAATATCCTTCTCATAGAAAGGCTTTTCATGTTTTGTTTTTATCTAGTCCAAATAAAGAATTAATGTTGCAATTTCTATAATTTGATGAAGCGTGTTTTTCAGCCAATTTGGGATAAAAGCTTCCACCTAAACCCTTAAATGTGAGGCCGACACCTTGATCAACAGCTATTCGTGGGCACTAAGCTTGATGGACAGCTCCTTATAAGCACACAGCCTCTGCCTGAACACTGTTTTCCATTTCGGGTTTGCATGTATGATTTATGATTTTGAGGTAATATACACTGATAATCACATTAACAACATTTATACATGGAATTCTTCAGATTAAATGTTTTCAAATGATAAAGATGCCATTTTCTCATTCCCTTGTTCCCCCTTTGAAGCTGCCGGGTAAATCCCTGCTGTCTTTCACACAGATCAGTCTGACCAAGCTAATTAAGTTCCCCTTGAAAAACCTCCTTTATGGGGTTTTTTTTCCTCTGAATAAAGCTAAATCTGAACTAATCCCATAATAATGTGAAATACAACCCATGAAAGACCTATGGCTTTTGCATTCGTACAGGAAAAAAAAACTTTTTTGTTCTTTTTGAACCTGTCGTTTACACTTGCACTGTTTTCTGTTCTGTTCTATGGAATGGTACTTGTCACCTAATAGTGGCAGTGTTTCTAAGCAACCAGTGAAGTGAAGTCTTAACCGAGGACTTGTAACTACTTGAATCACTGTGATTTATTCAGTAGGAGAATGCTGATCGTCTCTAAATCCAGCACAAGAAGCACTGGTTTCTCCTGAAACTGTACTTTGACTTGTCAGGAGTAGAACTACGACAAGAGCAGTAAGTATCATTCTTGGATAAACTGTTAATGAAGAATTTTAAAATATTTAGGATATTTAAAAAGATACTCTTAAGGATATTGATTTAACATTTTAAAAACATTTATATTTAACATTTATACTTTACAACCAATGTAAATATACACTATGTTGGTGACAATTTTCTGTCACTGACTGATGCAAACATCAACATCTTTGCATTCAAAAATTAGGTTTTTGACTGAATGTTTACCACAACGAGGGAGGGAAAAATGATTATCACTACTTTTAGACTGAAACATGCTTTACAGTTTATAGAGGAATTCAGTGATGATATGCTAAACAAAATGAATACCTTTCCGTTTTTCATAGAGAAAGGAAGGAAAGAGATTTTATTGGCCTCAATTCATAGCAACAGCTTTTGCTTTTTATTTCTACTTTACTTCAAAGCATTTATTCCAGGTTTTAAAGTTCTACTCCAGAGACATTTTAATATTTATATTTGCATATGAAAATAATCAGGTATAAACAATGTACAGTAACAGTTTTTCTTAAAGAAAAAGAAGTTCAGTGAATCTTTGTAATAGGCCTCGAAATGTGTCTACTACCGTTCCACCGCGTCTGATAGCGTATCAGTATCTGTTTATTTTTTTACATGATCCGAAATGTAATCTAGTGAAGTACAGTAGCAGAGGCTGAGAACTCACCTTGCTGTATTAGCAGCAGCCAAGCATAACTGTTGATATTACATTTCAACAACATTACACATCTCTACACGCCTACTATGTCTCATACCATCTCGTAACATTTCACCACCATGTTCAGGGCCTCATCCAGAGCCTGCTTTCTCGTATTTATGCATTTACCAATTTGCTTTTAGGACAGAATTCAGAAAGACACAACTTCATAATAACTTTAGGGAACACTCCTATCTCTCCAAAGTTAGCTGTGGCTGATCCCAGGTCAGACGTTTTAGGTATCCGGTTGCAGGAGGTGTGGTCCACCTCTGTATTTACATAGTAAGCTGTGATTGGCTGTCGGATTTGTGTCGTCACAAATTTTGTTTGCCCGAGGACGTTTGAAATCAGGATTTTTAGGAAGTGGAGTGACACTGCCACCTTTAGCAGAACAATGTGAAAACACCATGTTAGTGACTAACTGTGCACTCACACCAGTCAGTACTGTAGAAGTCTGACATTTAATGGCATATAAATATAAAAAACATGTTTCTGAGTTTAAGGGGTCCTCAAAAGCGACTGTAAAGAAGGGGGCATTTACTTTTTCTACCCACTCTATGGAATATCTTGGCAGTGTAA